GAAATACCAAAGGGAAAAATACGTAATAAATGGCTGAAGAACAGTGAAAATAAAGTAAAATTGATACTGAGTTATATAACACTGGAATGAAGCTAATTAAATACCTTTAATTAAAAAATAGCACGGTTGGTTTCACTCAGTCAAAATTTCTCTAGGAAATTAAATTTAAAAGCAAGCAAGAGAACAAATAACAAAAACTTCTCAAAATATATAATTGTTTGAGATAAAAATCTATTTATTGTGTGTGTGTGTGTGTGTGTGTGTGTGTGTGTTCGTGTATAGTTGAATATATATAAATCCTTATTTTTTCCTCTGTGATATACAGGTGTAGGTTTGTCAAGAGAAATGTCATGGGAATGAAAACAAAATATATGCTTTTTGGATTGCTTCTTATTTGTCAAGATATTAGAGGCAATTTGCATTTTTAATTGAAGGATAATTGGTTTTTATCGAATATGTTATGAAGCTTAATGTATTGCTTTATGGTGTAAAAGACTCATCATAACTAGCACAGGATTTTTTATAGCAGGCGTGCTGATCTTGGGCAGGACATTTTACCTCTTCAGAAGTCACTTTGTACATCTGTAAAATAAAGGGCTCGGTCTGTGTTAAATGACCCACATTCTATAGGTTTTGCTAGGAAACAGAAAACCTCTGTGTGCAAGCATGCTCATGCCTCTGCTTTTAACGCTTTCACAAGACAGGAAAATCTTTACAAAGTTAGATTCTTTTCTGAAGGAAGGAACATAGTTTTATACACAACTATCTTCTTTTTTCTTATGGTTACTTTCTGCAGACTGTGTTCAGAACAACGTCCCTGGTCTCTGTAAGATCTTCAATATTGAGATAAAATTATATTCATGATAAGGTTTTCACTGAGCCAGAAATGTGAAACAATGCATTTTTAAAAGATGTTCAGCAACAAGGACTAATTTCTATCCTACTTACTTCTCCTCCCCATTACAACGTCTCCTCTTCCAAGAAAAGAGTTTGGTTTGGCTGTCAACGCTATTAATCACAATCTCCTATTCCCTGATAACATTACGTAATTGAGCTTGTCTTGAACTATACCATTACTGAAAGCAAGAAATACAAACGTGTGCCCTCTGTCTCTCTCTCTCTGTCTCTCTCTTTCTGTTTCAGTTTGCTACTCAAAAGAAATATCAGAGATTATTTACTATAATTGTCCTATTGAATTATATAATTTTATTTCTGAAAGTAAAATGCTACATGGAAATTTTATATATATCTTACCTAAAATTATTTTTTGTGCATCTATAAAATGAATTTTTAACATGCATGTAGTAAAAATTTATTTTCTTTATATATACACATTTATGAAAACATCTACAAAAATATGCAACACATAAGTCTTGGTGGTCTTTGGCAGTTAGAATTCCAGCGGATTTTTATTTTCTTTCTTATCCATTTAAAATGGTTTCATGTAATGAGCAAATACTGATGTCATAACTGAAAAAAATGTATTAAACTAAAATTAGTCATTTATGGATGGAATTGAGCATGGGGAAAGCAGTAGTGATAATAAAGATTGCTAAGCTGAAAGTCTCATGAAACTCTTTTTCATCACATGCTGCTTCATAAGACTCACAAAATTTGAGTGAAAACCAAAAAAACCTCTTCTCATGAAGGTCGGACTGGTAGCTGCACCATACATAACAGGTTATCTTTCACATCCATCCAAAACCTACTGATCTTTTAGTGACTGCTCTTTGATTAGGGTGGTTCTTCTAGTAGGAATCCAACTCTGTTAGTTTTTTTCCTTTTTCCTAATTCTGAGGCATGAAACTTTATAGGAGATTTTCATTCTGTGCCCAATTGTACATCTCGGCTTACAGGCTCTGTATAGGTAATGACCTTGCTTCCATCACGCTGCGCCATGCCAGTCAGCCGACTCCCATCCTAAGGTGCCCACAGAAACACAAACTCCTCACAGGTCTTCTGCTTCTCTTTTTTCCTTTCTTCCATTCAGCTCACACACGCCCACCTAATTTATCCTTTTAAAACGTTACTTTAAATATATGACTCGTATGCTGAAATATCTATAAGGAGTCTCTCTGACATGAAGAGAAAACCCACACCCTTTAGCCTAGAATTCAAAGCTCTTGGACGGCTTTGCCCGCTCCAAGTCCCCTAATACAGCCTCAACTAAACCAGAATATCCCAATCAGTAAATGGTCTAGAACCTTAACATTCTCAAGTGTTGGCTCTTCTGTTTCTTCTGCCTGGAATGACTTACTTTGTGGTTTCCATCAATCTGACGCTCATAAGGGCAACTTTAGATTCCACACTTCAGATCCTCTTGGCCCACTCAACCACTAAGACATCCCCCCCTTTGCTCAAGTCCTGCTCTACCAACTCATTAGTGCTGTGCTTTATGCTACTTGACACTTTTGGTGCGCACGGATACTTCTTCCCGGATAAATGGTAACTGCCTTATGACTGAGGGTTGTGTTTTATCTTTGGTATGTTAAAATTATCTATGACTATGCCTCTTCAGTAATCCCTTAGGAGTCGACACATAGTAAGTATTTTTCAATTAACTGAAACCTTAAGCATCATGTTTTCTAAGCAGTTTGGAAAATGTGCAGAAGTATGACACTCCACATTTTTATTTTTTACTAAGTGTTTAAAGATATGTAAGTAATATTTGAGTTAAGCATTATGAAAACCACAAAAGTTAAGTTTACCATTTGCCCAACTTCCTGTTTCTGAAAATGTCCTTTTCTCATTGAGTGTGTTTAGCTAGAGCATTTAAAAAGCTTGTCCAAAACTCACAATCATGGCTTGCCTTTAGCAGAAATAATGTGTGCTCCTGCTTCTCTTTGTAAATAATTGAATTTGCTTCTGCAGTTCAAGAAGATCGTGATTTTTGTGTGTGTGTGAAACTGACTTGTTTCTGCTTTCTTCGCATGTGCAGCAGACTATAAAGTCAAAAGAGAAAGCCCGTGCAATTGGGATATGGTGAGGAGGGAGGATAATAGAAGAGATTGACATGACTTCCATAGAAGAGTTATTTTTAAGTATAGAGAATGCCTGTCTATCCCCATGCTGAAAGAGCCTTTAGAAAATATTACCAGCATTGAAAGGCAGTGGGAGTAATTCCCATCACCTGGGATAGCTGTGCCAGTCTGCAGAGTGTTGCTGCCACCTGCTGCATGCAAACAGCCACGGAGGGGCTGTCACCTGGGTCTCGCAGCTGCAGGATACCCGATATGTAAGCATTCAGTTAATATTCTGTGGTCACACATCTGAAATTGTTATTCTCGCAGAACCTGGGTGGGTCCCAAAGGAAAATTAGTCAAATATGATGGCTTCAGGCCATAGAAATTTCTAGATGGAAGAATCATGAACTAAGCCCTGAACCATACCCAGAGGACAGATTTGCCGTATCGTCACTAAATGGGTGGCTCAGGCAGCCCAACCCCAATGAGAGGCAAGAATTCTACTGAAAATAAGTGTGTAACACTGGAGATAAATGACTATTTCTCTGTTTCTGAGTTCAAGGACTTTTTGGAACAATTGCTTCACTTCAATACTGTAAGAAATAGGAGCATTCTAACTACCCCAAAGAGGGTATTGTTCTTAGAGAATTCAATAAATTAGATTTGTATTGGTTTCTACTTAGGTAAACTCCTCTTAATAGGAAAAATGGAGTGGGATCATAGAATCCCTTTTCTAGGCTTATAATGCGTCCCGAATTAAGAGGGATGCCAGTGTGCAAATCAGGCTCTTCATAGTGCATCCCCAGGACTATTTTTGCTGCTACGCTTCATAACGTTGATTGACTAGAATCTCCAGGGGCAATGGGAAGAATGAAGCTACCCAGAGCAGTTATGTCTCAAGGACTTTGAGTTCCCCAGCCTTCCCTGGAAAATCACTGTCAGCACCGCCTGACCCAATATCCCCAGTGACCTGAAACTCGTGGGATGATGGGAAGGGGTGATAAGAAAGGCTTGGGGAGCACTAGACTAGGCAAGCAGTAAGTACATCTTCTCAATTCTGCAGGAAACGACTAGCTGAGGAATAATATGGTAATTATCATGGCAAGTACATGCAGTGGTGGTAGAGGGGGTGGTCTGGACACCCAGGAAGACAGTAGCCCTTATCTATTTACATGAAAACCTCTCTTTTCCCATCTAAACTTTAATCTCCTGAAGGCCGAAAGCATTTTCTTCTGTCTTAGCACTGTCCATATTCCCTGCAAGTTCTTGCATAGGAGAGATTGGTGTATACATGACCACAACCTGGCCAAAATTATCTCCACCTGACCTGAAAAGAATCCCATCTCAGGATTACAACTGGCCTTTTCATTTGTCTTTTTCTTGCTAGGTGGTGCCTATATTCTAGTAATGAGATTAGAGTCACAGGATATTTTAACCATTCATATGGTTGCATAAAGACACACGTTTATTTGTTGCTATTCTTTGTCCATCAAACTTATACGGTAGTCCACAGCCTAATGCTTGTTTTCTTGATGTTGGAGGGTCATGACAGCCTATTTTATCCCAGCCTGAAAAACTAATACAATTAAATCAGAGAATCATAGCAGGGAATAGTCATCATCATCTTCTACGAATAGCCAGACATTTCACCAAGGGGTCACTTTACTGAAACCTGGTTGCGGTTCTGTGTAAATAGGAGTAACTAGGCAGATGTAATAAGCCCAATACCTCGCTGAGGTGGGAATTCTCTGCCTTTGGATTCTGATTGTGACTGCCCTGCTTTGGCTTAGGCATGGATAAGCTCTTCTGCAGTCAGTAAAAAAGGGCTCCAGCCAACCTGGTGGGAGACTTCTCTATCTGACCTCCAACCTTCCCAGAGGAGGGGTAGAAAAGTAGCCCTCACTTCTTCACTCCCAGGAAATGTGCATTTCCCTGCAAAGGAGAGACAATAAAATTTGGTTTGATAGCTGACACTATTCTCTGTTACTTTATTAAAATTAAATGTGCTAATTCTTTGTTCTTTCACCCCAGGGCAATTCTGGAAAGAAAACATATCTTAAGATTGAACAGAAAAACTATTATGAAAGACACCAAGCTCACATTTGTTAAATGACTTTGTGCTCTTGAAAAGAAATGTATGAAAAGCACATTGCCAACTGCTCTGCATGATATCCTTTGTTTGGATTTTAGACACAGCTTGACTGACAACAGAGATCCTGAATAAGAGACTCTTTGGATGCTGAAAAGTCTTTTAAAGAAGGTGATATACTGATTTCAGAGAAGAATTTCAACACTGTTCTGTTGAAGGTTACACTCAGCCCTGAACCACATTACTTTCCTGTCTAAGTTTCATTTCCTGGGGGCTTGCCAAGCGATAAACAGACCCAGGCATGTGTGGTAGATTTGAGGTTTTTTAGCACGAAGTGGGAGGCTGGAGTTTGCTTTAAAATATCAATTGACTTTGTGATCATTATGGAAATGCTGGCCCACGGTCTTCAAAAGACAATGGAGAAAAAATGGAAATACTGTGCTGTCTGTATCATCCAGATACATTTTATCAAGGGTAAGACTTCCAATTGTCCCTTCTTGTCAGCTGGGCTGTTTAGGGGTGGATGGGGCCTGTGTTCATTTAAAATGCCTCGTTACTGCTGCTGAAATTGATCACCAAAGGGCAAATTGTTACCAAGGATTTCAGTTACCTATTTAAGTGGCAGATGTAGAAGAGATGCTAGAATATAGAAACGATTACTAATGAACACTAAAAATAAGAAGGGAATGGGTCATTTGTGCCACTGCTCTGAGGCATTTTCACCCATTTCCTTTCTCACAGGATCTCTGGAGTAATTGAGAAATTGTGTTTCTTGGAAATGAAATGCTCTCCAAACGGTTGTCAAAATGAATGCGGAAAAATTAAAAATCACAAAGCCATCAACGCTCAGAGATCCTTACTTAACTTTTTTCTCTCTCAAGTACTCTTCTTCTTATGGATATAACAAGTATTTCTCCTCCAAATACTAAGGTCTTTGGGAGTTGAATACACGTTGAATTTTAACGAGGCATGTGTAGATATGAACCTGGGAGACAAAGTGGAATCCTATGACAGTGCGAACAAGAGCCTACAGGGCCCATTTAAAAAGAGAAGGAAGATTAGCTCTGTATTCCACAGCATGAGAGTATTATAGTAAACCTGAGTGTCTTAAGAATTAACTGTGCTTTTCAGATGTAGCTATGAAAATATTAAGGAGAATTTCTAAATCAAAGGAGATTTTGGAACATAATGCTGTAGATGGGATCAGAGCCATATTTTCAGGCAAAGGATAGCTCAAAGCAAGTTACATGAAACTGTACTAACCTCTACCTACCAGACTTTTGCATCCACAAAAATATGATAATTCCCATTTGTCAAGTACTTTTACTTTTAAGAGGCTTGTTTCTTCTCAGTTGCTTGTCATCTTTTTATCTTTTCCTTTTGTGAACTGCAGTGGTACTTGTCACAGTAATATATCATTTCTGTAACAGGATTCCATGTTAATTCTAAAACTGAGGCCAACATAACTGAAGGCATGTCACGGTCTTAATGCCTAACACATTTTAAGTGTCCTGTATCACTTGATCAGACTGCTGATGGGAAACAGGCTCTACGTATGTCTAGTATTTCAGGACTATGGATTATTAGAGGTGATACTGAGTGGAACCTCTACCTAAGGTTAGATGAGGTCTTTTCAACCGTGATATACTGAAAGCCACATTTCTTACTCTAATCAACGAGACTGAACTGGGGAGGCAGTTTGTGGCTATAAGGGTTGTAGAAAGACTACAGACTCTTGGCAACTGAATTCGATCTTTTACTGGAGGTGTGACTTGTTTTTTTTTTTTTTTTTTTTGAGACGGAGTCTGGCTCTGTCACCAGGCTGGAGTGCAGTGGCACAATCTCAGTTCACTGCAACCTCCACCTCCCAGGTTCAAGCAATTCTCCCGCCTCAGCCTCCCAAGTAGCTGGGACTACAGGTGTATGCCACCATGCCCAGCTAATTCTTGTATTTTTAGTAGGGACGGAGTTTCACCATGTTGGCCAGGATGGTCTCAATCCCTTGACCTCATGATTCACCTGCCTTGACCTTCGAAAGTGCTGGGATTACAAGCATGAGCCACCTTGCCTGGCCTGGAGGTATGCCTTGAGCAAACCCTTAAATCTCTCTGTGCCCCAGTTTCTGCCTTGATTAAAAAGGGGTTAACAACATCACCTGTGGCATGTGAAGGGGATTAAACAAGATAACATATGAAAGGCCTTTGTAAATATGTATCTTTAAAAAAAATTGCTATAAACCTATTAGTTTTTTTGCAGTTTCAGAAAGCATCACGTGTATCATATTCAGCTGTTGTTTTATAACCCAAAAAGCCAATTTTATTAAACATAAAAAGAACTGTCATGCTAAGTTTGCTGGTGTGCTTCAATTTTCAAATAGGCTTAATTTTATTCACAGGTAGTCAGAAACCTTCAATTATGTTTTGGTCAAACACATAGAAAAATTTTAGAAGTCAGTAATTTCCTCTAGCTTCTTTACGTCACTCCCTCCTCATTTATATTGTCTCATGCATCACTATCTGAGTCAGACACAAGCTCTCTTCCACCCCTAAAGCAGCCAGGGAGAAATTTCCTCAGTTGCTTCCTCACCTTACTGAAATGACTTAGGGTTTTTAATAGAGTCATTCTATGTGAATTATTTAAACTCATGGCTCATGTTCTTCCTTTTCAGGAGTTTGGGAACAAACTTTCAATACAGAAGAAGACATTTATGCTCCACTTGGCTCTGATGTCAACCTGACCTGCCAAACACAGAAGATAGGCATCTTGGTGCAGATACAGGACTTTAGTATTTCCTGTAAGACAAATCTATTTGCAATGAATTCTTTCAGATTTTTTCATTTTTAATTTTAAAGGATAATTTCACTGGATGTAGAATTCTGAGTGGATTGTGACTCTCTTAGTACTTGGAATACATATTCAGATCTCCATTCTTTCTGATTAAAATGAGCCACTAGTGATGTTATTAGTCTGCTGCATGGGATGACTTTTTGTTTTTGTTTCCTTGTTTTCTGCTCCTTTCAATTGCTACTTATATAATTTATTCTTTCTTTTTGGTTTTCAGAAGTTTGATTACATTGTGTCCACATGACTGACTGTGTTTGTCCTAGTCCCGTTTTGTTAAAGTTCTTGGATGTGTAGATTAATTTTAAGAAAATTTTTAAATAATCAAATAGGTGAAGGTTTTGCCCATTCTTTCATCAAATATTTGGTCCATCCCTTTACTCTTTCACTTCTTCTTCTATTACTCCTGTTTCATGTATGTTAGCATACTTGATACTGTCCTATCTGGCTCTGAAGCTGTTTTCATTTCTTCCCATCCTTTTTCTCCCTTAAGATTAGATACTTTGGAAAAAACTACTTTAAACTTCATATGGAACCACAAGAGAGCCCGCATAGCCAAGACAATCCTAAGCAAAAAGAACAAAGCTGGCAGTCACACTGCTGAACTTCAAACTATACTATAAGGCTACAGTCATCAAAACAGCATGGTACTGGTACCAAAACAGAGACATAGACCAATGGAACAGAACAGAGGCCCCAGAAGCAACACCACACATCTGCAACCATCTCATCTTTGATAAACATGACAAAAACAAACAATGGGGAAAGGACTCCATGTTTAATAAATGGTGTGGGGAAAACTGGCTAGCAATATGCAGAAAGTAGAAACTGGACCCCTACCTGTCTCCTTACACTAAAATTAACTCCAGATGAATTAAAGATTTAAACATAGAACCTAACATCATAAAAACACTATAAGAAAACATAGGCAAAACCATACAGGACATAGGCATAGGCAAGTACTTCATGACTAAAACACCAAAAGCAATGGCAATAAAAGCCAAGATAGACAAATGGGATCTCATGAAAAGTCAGAGCTTCTGTACAGCAAAAGAAACCATCATACGAGCAAATCAGCAACCAACAGAATGGGAAAATATTTTTGCAATCTACCCATCTAACAAAGGGCTAATATCCAGAATCTACAAAGAACTAAAACAGATATACAAGAAAAAAAGAAGCCCATTCAAAAGTGGGCGAAGGATATGAGCAGACACTTTTTAAAAGAAGACATACATGAGGCCAACAAACATATGAAAAAATGCTCATCGTCACTGGTCATTAGGGAAATGCAAATCAAAACCACATTGAGATATCATCTCACACCAGTTAGAATGGCAATCATTAAAAAATCTGGAGACAACAGATGTTGGAGAGGATGTGGAGAAATAGGAACAGTCTAACACAGTTGGTGGGAGTGTAAATTAGTTCAACCATTGTGGAAGACAGTGTGTGGCAATTTCTCAAGGATCTAGAAATAGAAATTCCATTTGACCCAGCAATCCCATTACTAGGTATAAACCCAAAGAACTATAAATCATTCTACTATAAAGACACAAGCACACATATGTTGACTACAGCCCTGTATACAATAGGAAAGACCTGGAACCAACCCAAATGCCCATCAATGACAGAATGGACAAAGAAATTGCAGTACATATACACCATGGAATACTATGCAGCCATAAAAAACGATGAGTTCATGTCCTTTGTAGGGACTTGGATGAATCTGGAAACCATCATTCTCAGCAAGCTGACAAAAGAACAGAAAATCAAACACCTCATGTTCTCACTCATAGGTGGGTGTTGAACAATGAGAACATGTGGACTTAGGGAGAGGAGCATCACATACTGGGGACAGTTGTGGGGGATGGAGAGAGACAGTGGGGGGTGGGGAGGGTGGGGAGAGAGAACATGGGAAGAAATGCCAGATACATTATGCATCTAAAGTTAAAGTGAAAATTTAAAAAATTAGATACTTTATATTGAACAATGTTCAAATACACTAATTCTTTCTTCAGCCATCTCAAATTTGCTATTGAGAACATCTAGCAAATTTTTCATTTTTATTAACATTTCAACTCTAAAATATGCATTTGCTTCATTTTATAGTTTTCTATTTCTCCACTAACATTTTCTCTTTATTGAGTCATTGTCATCTCTTGATTTAATCCTTTTAATAGACTAATAATAGCTTCTTTGGAGTCTTTAAATTCAACACCTGGGTCTGCCCAGAGTCAGCTGCAACTGCTTTTTTCCTGATTATGGGTCACACATTCCTGTTTTCTCAATGTCTCATAATTTTTTGTTGAAAACTGGACATTTTAATATATATACATATATATTTATAGACGGAGTATAGAATATATATATATGTTGCAACTCTATATTCTGTCTTATTTAGGTTCATTTTATTTTAGTAACTTATCTGTGCTTAAATTGAATGCCTCCTTTGCAGCTCAAAGCCATTGATCTCTCTGCTCAGATTTTAATACAAATAGTTATTTTTAAATTTGGCTTGCAAGAAGTTGCCCCTGCATTGGCAAAACCACTTTCCTGGTCCACCAGTGATTTTGGCAAAAGTCACGCTCAAACACGTTAACCCCATTAGGCTTCCACTGTTTATACATAGATTTGTGTGTCAATCAGGGACTGCATTCCAAGTTGCCAGACTTCCTTGGCTTTTACTTTTTGCTAAGCTCTTTCAGATCTCCCCCACTCAGTGTGTAGTTTCCTAGCCAGGGTATAATATGTGAAGTCCTTATCTTAGCCATTCCATGAAGGACCTCCATGTTAAAGGTCTCTCTGGTCTGTCACTGTCTTTGTTTTGTGCTGCTCTAACAGAATACCACAGACTGGATACTTTAGAAATGATAGATATTGGCTGGGCATGGTGGCTCAAGCCTGTAATCCCAGTACTTTGGGAGGCCGAGGCGGGTGGATCACAAGGTCAACAGATCGAGACCATCCTGGTCAACATGGTGAAACCCCGTCTCTACTAAAAATACAAAAAATTAGCTGGGCACGATGGCGCGTGCCTGTAATCCCAGCTACAGGAGGCTGAGGCAGGAGAATTGCCTGAACCCAGGAGGCGGAGGTTGCGGTGAGCCGAGATTGCACCATTGCACTCCAGCCTGGGTAAAAAGAGCGAAACTCCGTCTCAAAAATAAAAAATAAAATAAATTTAAAAAAAGAAATGATAGATATTTGTTTTCTCACAGTTCTGGAGGTTGAGAATGTCCAAGATCAAGCTATTGACATCTGGTGAGGGCCTGCTTGCTAAATCCTCTGGAGGGGAGAAATGCCATGTCTTCACATGGTGGTAAGGCAGAAGGCAAGAGACAAAAGGGGAATCAACTCTCCCTTTTATAACAGCATTAATGCCACTTATGAGAGCTCTTCCCTATCCCCTCCCAAAGATTCTACCTCCTAATACTGTCACAGTGGAAACCAAATTTCAACATGCATTTCAGAGAGACAAGCACTCCCAATGGGAATACGAAGTCAAACTAACCAAGCTTCAGGTTTTTGGAACCTACCAAGTGTGTCCCTATTATGGGAAAAGGTGAAAGGTTTCCACCCTTAGACCTAATTTAAGTCTGCACGTTGTGGAAAAAAAACTGCTGGTTTTTGCAACCTGCTCCATGTGGCTAAAACTACATTTCTTAATGACCAAGTTAGAGAAGGGAATGGAAGGAGCTGTAGGCAAAAAGACTGAAGACTCCTGCTGTTTTTACTAAAGCTCTGGTGATTTTTCAAGAAGAAATGCTTCACAATTTAATAATTACCTTGAGTCAATTTCCAAGGACCTAAAATTGTTGCTTTTTAAGCACGTTTGCCCAGTTTTGTACTTGTCTGTTTTTACTGACCTCCTCATGTCCCCATAACCAGAAGTCCCTCATTCCTACTCCTCATATTTTGATATTTCAATTGTATCTTTATTTAAAAACATGTATTCATTACTATTCCCTTTCTTATAACAATTATATATTCTTAGTGCTAAAGGTAAACACATAATCAACATTTACCACTAACCTTCATGTAAATGCATCTCCAGCCTGAAATGTATTCTACTGGAGAATCCTCAGGAAATGCTCATAGCAGCAATATTCTCTGAGTTCTTGCATAACTCTAGCATTTTTCTGTAGTCTTTATATTAAAAGGTTAATTTTGCTGAATATAAAATCTTTGGTTCACATTTTCTTTCCTTGAGTATATTAACTATGTTACTGTACTGTTTTCTGGCAAAGGACTGCTCTCACAAAGCTAATAACAATCTAAATTTTCCCCATGTTTGTCTTTGCTCAGTACTTTTATATGAACATACTTAATGTTGTCCATTCTGGGTCTGTTTTCCTATTTTGTAATCACTTAATGTGTATTTTCTAGTTGTGTTAAATTTTATATTTTTCTTGAATTACAGTTTTTGATATTTGTTCTGTTTAGTGATCTTTTTTAACGTCTTCTATTGTACATATATTTTATCTTCTTTGCATATCATTTTTTGAATCTCTTTTGTCAGTTTTTTCTTGTATTTTATAATTACATATTAATTTATTTCAAAATTTCCCTCATACTATTTTTAAAATGTATTTTAATGAATTAGCTTTTGTGTTTCTAGGTTTCTGCTTTTGTTATAATTTTGTCTTAATTTCTGGAGTGATTTTTTAAAAATTATTATTTCTAACCCTTTTGTGAATTTTCTTACCTATATTTTGTAAGCTTTTTTCTTCCACTGGACTCATTGGGAACTTTCCAAAGTTGTTCACAGTTTACATTATTTTCTTTCTTTTAGCTTATTTTGGATAATTTGGCTGTAGTTATCATTTACTTTGCTGTCATTTTGTGATAATATGCTCTTGTTGTTGTAGGAATGTTGTTTTTTTCTTTATTCTCTTTTCGCTTCTGTTATCCTTATAGGTTATTCTATCTCATTCCCTTTCTATTGCTCATGTTTAAGTTAAATGCATTCCTATCACAGAAGAGTGGGCCAGGCTAGCTTTTCTAGAGTGTTCAGTATCCCTGGAATCCCTCTTCTGTTATTTTCAAGGTAAGAAATTTGCCATTGTACTTTCTGAGTGGATTTCCTTTGCTTCTATCCCTCACTTTTGTCTAAATTGCCTCTTTGATTTCTCTTATTGGACCTGTCCTGTTTTATTGGATTCTACATCCAGCAGTTTTTTCTCCCCATGGCATGTGTCCTGAGAAGACATTTTTGCTCCAGCACTGACAACCCATTTCTTATTTTTGTTGAAGACACTGGTCATTTGGTGTCTGCAAACTCTCTTTTCCATTTCAGCTACTATTCTTGGACTAATCTGCCTGTCTTTCCAGCAATTACCTGTTACTAGGCAGAGACAGGTAGTGTGGGTTCTCAAGTTCTAAGATCCATCAGAAGAAGTCGATCTTCCTATGTTCCTTTCTGCACAGTTGCTGATAACACAGTGGCTCAGTGAATTTCCCCCAACAGTTACCAGGGATGTGTGGGTAGCTAGTGTTCTTGTAGAAATTGCCTATGTATTTTTAGTTTGGTTATCCTAGTTATCACCTTTGTTTTTATACAGGGTTTCAGGAATATTCAAAAAGTAATGCCACTTATCCTGCCAGCTTCCTGGAATCTGGACAAAGTTTACAAAAATGTAATACTTACATATTTACTGATATTCATTAAAATATAACTAACAGTTGTATTGCATGGACTTCACAGATATTAGTGCCCAAATCAGTATATTTTAAAGAAATATATATATAAGTAAAACAACTACAATCATTTCAAGAATAAAATTAAATAGTAGTAATGGTGGTATGCAAATAAGTCAAAAAATTATGATAGCAGAGGTAGTGTACAAACAGCTCCATTTTGAAGTGTGATCACTAAGTACTGCTTTACCTTAAGGGACAAGGCTCTTATTTTCCATTATGAATTTGGAGTAGTATTTGGAAACAGCAGCAGAGAGCAAGGAAAGTACTGATCCTACCTCCAGAACTTGATGAATTAAGAGTGCAAGAAAATATATGACTACTATTTGGAAATGCTATGGGGAAGATGTACTCTATGAGAAGTTCTGGCTTTAATTAGGAAAAGGAGGAGAAAGGGGTTATCAGTAGATAGTATAGCTGCTATTGGTGAGAGATTAAAGCATAACAAATGTCTAAAGGCTAGATATAAAATTTATAAACTGAGAAATACTCCATTAAAATATGTGTACTGTTGTATAGCATGTATTTTATGTGTGTGTGTGTATAATTATACATATATATAATTTTTAGACCTTAAGTGGTGCTTTAATCTTCAGGTTTCATTTCCTTGATCAGATAGAATATAAAGTTTCATAGCCTAGGCTTTGTCTTTTTATTTTGCTGGACTAATACTGTATAACAGTTATACTGTTATATAACATATTTATATATACACACAATGTTAGTAGCAATAAGAATGCTCATACTCAGTGATCCATTAATTACACTTCTGAGAGTTTACCTTAAGTAGCTGAATGGTCAGAGTAAAGCTATTAGCATAAGGATGATCCTTGCTGTATAGCATGTAATGGTTTAAAAGTTAAAAAACCCAGGCTGCAAGAGCACAATGATTCAATAATTGGAAATGACTAAATGGATGATGGTTGGTACATATGATAAAGTGACACAAACTCCCCATAAAGGTAAATCAAAAATAGTTCAAGAATCACACAAAACATTTAAAGTAACAGTATATATAACATTCATTGGTAAATAGGATTGCAGACTACAAGAAAACATGCATGTATGCAAACAAGATTTGAATAAATATAGAAAAAAGAATATAAGATTTTTAGGATATTTGGATGATAGAGTTGCCTTTATTTATACCTTTCTTTTGGTGTTAGAGTTTACTCACAATTTGCACATATGTATATACAACTTTCCCAATGGGAAAGACTACAAAATGGATATTTATCTTCTACTACCTTAAAAATGAAAATAATTAACACTGCTTCCTCAAAGCTCCCTTATCTATTTTTGTGTCATTCCTTTGTTGAAGGAACGTTTTTTTATAAGTTCTAGGAAGATTATTAGATATAAAGACTGTCAAAAGATCAGATTTTAGGGCAGCAAAACTATGACGTATGATACTATAATGGTGGATACATGTCATTACACATTGTCCAAACTCATAGAATATACAAAATTCAGAGTAAACCCTAATGTAAACTATGAACTTCGTGCCAGTGTGGGTTCATTAATTGTAACAAATGTGCCGCTGGAACAGGATGTCCACAGTGGTGGAGGCTGTGGGGGAGTCGAGGCAGTAGATGTACTGGGAGCTTTATACTTTCTGCTCAATTTTGCTGTGAACCTAAAACTACTCTAAAAAATAAAGTCCATCAAAATAAGAAGACAATTAAGGCCAGGTTATGAAGTTTTATATTCTATGTGATCAAGGAAATGGAAACTCACGATTAAAGCACCAACTTGGGGCTAACGCAGAGGAACGTGGCAAATGATGAGTTCGATTCTGTTCAGTTGTTTCCTTGTAATTTTTCAGTGTTTAGCAACAATTCTGTGCTCCTCAGTGACTCTGTTTAGCCACTTATACAATGACTATAGTGGGGGTTTGCCTCTCTGCTTTATACGTGCACTCTGAGGATAGCTGAATCTCTATACTAAAACTGTCTTTGTCTCTTTGACAAAAAGCACTTTACAAACCAATCGGAGATTCATGTATTTTCTACCTTATGTTTGTTACAGTTACACCAGATGAGTGGAAAATCAACCATACAATAGAAATAGAGATAAATCGGACTCTGGAAATACCATGCTTTCAAAATAGCTCCTCAGAAATTTCATCTGAGCTCACCTATGCATGGTTGGTGGTAAGTGTTGCCCTTTTCAGAGAATAACTGCAATGGTCTTTAAACATTAATGAAGTAAAATGAATAAGCAGTAATAATAGGGAAGGAAGCACACTAGATGACAGGCAGGCATTATGCCAGGGGTGGGAGGAGGGGTGGGGAAGGAAGGAGAGGACATTCAGATTCCTTCTCACAGCAAGCCTCTGAGTCTATGAATGCAGTAAATTAATTTATAAATTTGCTTCTAAAGGTTGATTTTTATTTCTAGCTATACAACAAACTATGATTACAGAAAGAACGAAGTGTGATAGTGCCCCAGAGAGGAGCCATATTCAGCAGAAGCCCCGACTTACAAATACTTGTTTTACAAACAACATATGCAGAGCTACAGACTCCCTTTTCCAAAAACACTTACTACTGCACCCTGGGAAATACACAACGTTGGCTTAGGCTGAGAAGCACAAATTCTAGTGCTTGTGAAATATAAGCAGGAAGTGTATATGAGACATGCAGGACTTGTATAAGAAACAGCCACTGCCCAGCTCTATTAATGCCACAAGGGGCTGCAGGCCTATAATTGCCATGCCTTCTCATTAAAAAAAAAGCCAGAAATCTGTATTTTTATGAAAAATTTTCCAATTTAAAAATGATGTAGGCCAGACATGGTGGCTCACACCTGTAATATCAGCACTTTAGGAGGCCGAGGCAGGTGGATCACAAGGTCAGGTGTTCAAGACCAGCTGGACTAACATGGTGAAACCCCATCTCTACTAAAAATATAAAAATTAGCCAGGTGTGGTGGTGCACACCCTGTAATCCCAGCTACTCAGGAGTCTGAGGCAGGAGAATCACTTGAATCTGTGAGGCAGAGGTTGCAGTGAGCCGAGATTGCGCCACTGCACTCCAGCCTGGGCGACAGAGCAAGACTCCATCTCAAAAAATGAAAAATGAGGTGTAGAGCAAAAATAAATATTGGGCTATTATTTTGATGTGTAGATCAAAAATAAATACTGGTCTATTATTTTGCTAAAACACTCTAAACTATAACCCTATTGTAAATTTTAAAAATTTCACTTTGGCAGTTATGGTGGGCCAACTATGAAGTTGCTTCCCATGTCCTGTGTGATGACTAAATTCTCCCACTGCTTTTCTCACTTGAAATACTGCAGAGTTCATCTATGCAGATCTTCATCTATTCAGATGTATGATGTAATTTGGCCTAACCCTTCACGTAACTATATCATTTGTTTACTTTGTCTGCCTTCGATATTTTATCCTTAGTCTACATTATTCTGCCTAACGTATCAGTTTAGTTTAAAATCTAAACTTAATCGTAAAAACTAAAATTTTCTGAGTTTTTTTCTCATAAACAAAATCATCAGGAGTATAATAATAAATATGAAAGAACTGTGTCACTGGAACTTTAGCCAACCAAATGGCAGCCAGCTACTAATCACTGTATACCGTAAACCCCAAAACTGTTAGAAACAAATGATAAGAGAGACAAACACAATTACAGAGATGATGATAAACATGATTTCAAGAATCATAGAACAGGGCATTCATTTAGGTGATACAGAATATGATTCAATTACTGTATGTTAATTTTTATATGTTTATCAAAATGAAAACAGAGAATTTAAAAATTCTTATAAAACTCACAGAAGAACCTCCTGAATGTAACAGCTGGCACAATTTGGAAAATACTGTGATTGGGGTGGTTTATTATTCACATTACAAGCTACCTAGATTCTTGTGGACAGTCTCAGAAGCTAGACCTTATATGTAAAAACATTTCTTTGGGTTTGTGCCATACCCAAAATAATTGACTTGTGCAAAGGATTTTAAATACAACCTACTGATAACTTTTCACTGTCTAGGTATTTTTCAAATAGTAATAAAAAGAATTATATTTTAAAATAACTTTCACAAATGGCTTAAAACCCTACAGTGTCTCTTTGTCATTTGTCACAAGACATGTATGCCCCATATAGGATTTGCTTTCCAAAATGCAAGGCTTCCTGGACATTATCATTAGGACGAGTATAGGTCCACTGTTCTTAACAAACATGACACAACACAGTTCTGAGAAAAAGCTTAAGAAGTGGGATCACCTCAGGGGGGCAGAAATGTACTACACTAAACCTTTTAGTGATGAAATGCATGCCCTGCTTGTGTTACCAATATTTTCCCCCAAGAGGGCAGAAAGTTCCTATCCCAGTTATCACAAATTCACTAAGAATGGCAACTGGTTTAATAAAGCTTTACTGTCGATATTTTTACTGGAGTGTTCTTGCCTCATGGTGTGTAATCTGTTTTTGTAAGCAAATGTAAAGTCTTTGGTGTGTGTCTTTTCTGTGACTCTGAGCTTCTGGACAAAAAGTTGTATGGCTCATTTCAAAAATATCTACCATCTAGAATAGAGTCCAAAACATAGGTGCTCATAAATACTTAATAAATAATTTAACAAATTTGTATTTGTCCCTTTCCCCCCCAGTCTTATTCATTATTCTCATATTAAATTGATGATCACTAAATTCATGCTGTTTGATTGTTTAATGAGTGGCAGCTCATGAAGTATCAAAGACTTGACAACTGAAAAAGCATGCTTTATCAAGTAGCTTCCTTTAAAGAAACTAAGAAGGCCATATCAACATACCTTTGTGTTCGGCCAGGGCATTTAAAATAAATGAAGGCCAGAGAGAGTGCAGGTAAGGTCACACAGTGAGAGGGTGAGTCTTAAACATCCACTAGAACCTCAAGTCACGCTGCCACCGTAAAGAATGCATCATGATACAGACAACCTGAAGAATCCTTCTGAAGAAACCTTTCTTCAAAGGGAACCTGGTGTTGGCAAATGTACTGATTAAAATGCTACCATGCATTTCCTTCCTAAATGTCAAAATCTATTTGCTTCTCTCATTTACATCTATGTCCTACACTGTTGATGGCTGTGGGATTCAGCCAGTCCATTAAAGCATCTTGTGTCCTTATGAAGTGGGTTACATAGGGTGGTTATAGTTTCCCTTAAAGGAGAACAAACTGCCTGACAGTGGCCGGTGGTGAGAGCACCCTACAGCAAGAGGTAAAGGAGCAGAAAGGAGAAATCCCTAAATTCATGCAAGTGCAGAAACCCAAGATCGGTGTCTTTGGACTGACCTGTGCTTATTATAATAGTAAAAAACGCACCCATGAGTAGAGATTTCAGATGCTAATGAGACATGCCATGTTATCTACTGGCATGTACAACAATAGCACATGCACATCCAGAGGACCACCCAGAACATGCTTCATAGCATCATGCCTTCCCAGCCCCAGCCCTTCATGAATAATCATCTGAGACTCTCATAAAGGGAGCTTCCCTAGTATCAGTCAGCACTGTCTCACCTTTGAGTAGCCTGCTGTGATCAGCTGTGAGTGTACTTTTGCTTTGCAGAAAGCTCTCTTACCTCCTTTCACTTTGAACTTGCTCTCAAATTCTTTTGTGCAGTAAAGTCAAAAACCCAAGCTGGTGCCACTGGCAACACTTATATTAGGGAATAAACTACAACTCTTAGTGTCACAATTGTTACGTGCCTGCAAAGGACACAAATATTCCAGCCAATCTATATTATTGGTCTTTAATCTCTTCTTAAACTAACGATAATAATCACAATGATAAGCCAACTGTTCTCACAAACATTATATAATCTCTTTAGAAAGAGATCAAAAAATGGAAAGGATGAAGATGAGCTGAGGAGAGCAGAAACTTGCTATACTGAGCTCAGTAACTCTGGGAAGCTTCAAAGGCCTTCTACCCTGAGTGATTCATGAAGTCCTGGAAACAGTTTACAAACTAAAATTATCTAGGTCACTGAAAAATAAAATTTCTGTACATGAAATTTTATAAAAGTTAATTCAATTATGACCCTCATGGGATAGGTTATTAATGGAATTCTGTCTCATAAAACAAACTCCTTTGCTACATGTGCCTGCAATCATGCTAAGAGTGCTAAATGTGTTAATTGGACAGACTCTGCATTGTGGGAAGAAGTTACATTGCAGAACTGGGAATACATTGAAGTGGACGGGCATCAGGTGCAAATGGACGGCGTAGCTAACATTCATCCAGCATGGGGGGTAAATAAGTAAACACAAAGGGTTCACCCTTTAATGGAAACTAATAATCTATGTGAATGGAGGGGTAATATATAAGAAATCCTACAAATGTGTGTTTAGACAAGATGCAGTTGGAAGCTAAAAGATAAGTGATATTTTTCCCATTTTATGCATTGGGATATAAGCATATACTTATCAGGAAAATTCTTCAGGCTTATTCTGGAAGTTTCTAAATATACTCTAATATTCTGTTTTCATAGGAAACTATCATCCTTATTTCCCACAATATAAATTTCACTTCAGTCCAATAAACATATGTGAATCTGTTTTGAGCACTAAGTCCTTCAGGGATACAAAACTATATTGGACGTATTTCCTACCATGATATACACCTTTAATAAAAATGTAAAAAATGGCAGCATGGGGAAAATCATTCAATTCTGACTACATGTACCTGGGAAGCCTCTTAAAAAGGTTATATTTGAGCTGGATAATTAAATAGTTGGCTGGCAAAAGACAGATGTGTACTACACCAAGACCCTGGGACCTCTAAGTACAAATTGGTAGTGCGGATGGGAAAAGGCAAAAGAGGGAATATTTGTTCCCAAAGTCAGTGAAAATAAAGAAATTCATGATTTTTCTCTTTATAATTATGAAGAGAAGGACAAGAATATTTCCAATTCAAACAATTCAATGTTAGCAACAAAATCATGTAACTGTAGATGCTCATACATCTTAAAATTTTCATCAACAAATGCATCTTCAATATGCTCTTCTTTAATATTTGTGCTACTTATGTTAAAAGGTAAAATGGTACTACAGACAGTGTTCGTTATGCTTATGGATGCCTCACTATTCAGAAAACAAAACTGTAACCTCTTACCTGATGGCCGCTGATTCTAATTGCCTTTAATAAAAAAATTAGTTTAGTTGCTAGGCAAACTACAAAAGTTGATAGTGACAACGATTAGAAAAATAGTGTTCTGGTGCTCTAGAACATGGACCTGGGGAGCTCTGCAAGCAGCTCGCCTTGACAGTCCTGACTGGATGGAGAATAAATGGAGGAAATGTGAAGAAAGGAAACAGTTTGGAGAAAAAAGGAGTAGCCATCAATACAGTTCACAGCAGTTATCGAATGAGCTCTGTACAGTCAGCCCCTGCCGCACGCTGTGGTCAGTGCAGCTCTCACGTGGAGCTGCTTTCAAGGAGCTCAGAGATGAAATACCATCACGAAATCAAGGAGGTTGAGCATCCCAAATCTGAAAACGTGAAATTCAAAATGCTCCAAATCTGAAACGTTTTTAGCGCACACATGATGCTCAAAATCAATGTTCAATGGATAATTTCGGATTTCAAATTTTCACATTTAAGATGTGCAACTGGCATAATGTAAATATTCCAAAATCCAAAACAATCTGAAGCCTGAAACACTTCTGGTACCAAGAGCTTCAGATAAGGGATACTCAACTTGTAGTGCAAAGGTTCCTCTTCTAAATTGAAAATTTTAATTCTAGTACAAAAACAAAAAAAGTCTCAATGACATATTTTAGGATTTGTCAAGTCTTTAAGGGACATACAACAGCAGTTTAATGATTCAATATGTCCCTTCCAGCCCTTAGCATGCTAATTATTTTATTAAGCTCCTATACATAATTTATATATGCATTTGTTTCTCTTCTATGGCTCCCGATTTTCATATTTGTTTGTGTGTGTGTGTGTGTGTGTGTGTGTGTTATTCTCCTTAAGTAGATTTTTTAGTACAAAAAAAATCTAATTTAAAATTAGATTTAAAAATCTATTTTTTTTAGATTTTATTTTGAGGCAGGGTCCCACTCTGTTGCCCAGGCTGGAGTGCAGTGACACAATCTTGGCTCACTGCAGCCTTGACCTCCTCAGGCTCAAGTGATCCTCCCACCTCAGCTTCCCAAGTAACTGGGACCACAGGCATGTGCCACCACGTCTGGCGAATTTTTTTGTATTTTTAGTAACGACAGGGTTTCACCATGTTGCCCAGGTTGGCCTCGAACTCCTGGGCTCAGGCGATCCACCATCGTTGGCCTCCCAAAGTGCTGGGATTATAGGCATGAGTCACCAAATACAGCCCTTTAGTAGATTGTATGTAGGAAAGGCAAGGACTGTTTCTTCTACTACTTTTGGGAGACTGTATGTAGCAAAGCCATTAACAGTAGGACTTTGGAGGAAACTGCTGTTTTGAAGACCTGGATTTCCACTACTTATTACCTATGCAACCTAAGGGCTGCCATGAGAGTGAGGAAGTAAGGCCCTGAACCTTGGGAGCAAAATTTAAGGGAGCACAAAACAATTAGTAATCGAGATAATTTTATTTTTAAAAATCAAAATTTGGGAAAGTACATGATGAACGAAATATCAAATCTATAAATAAAGGCAGACTGTTGCTTGTGTGTTTTGAGACCTTGCTACGTATTGTTCAAGAAACAGTATTCTCCAATCAGCCTGTTCTTCCTGGGCTTCGTGGCCATTGCATCCCCCAAGGGCTAATGTATAAGGGTTGACCATGGCGAGAGAACAGATTGAGCTATTCATGACTTTATAACTGCCTTAATCTCTTTTGTGCTGCTAGGTATAACAGAATGTCTAACTGAGAAATTTATTCTCTCACAGTTCTGGAGGCTGGGAAGTCCAAAATCAAGGTGCTAGCAGGCTAGAGCCTGGTCTCTGTGCTTCCAAGAAGGCACTTGAATGCTGTGTTATCCAGAGAGGACAAAATAATTGTGTCCTCACATGGCAGAAGAGCAGAAAAGAAAGAACTCACTACTACAAGTACCTTGTATGGTGGCATGAATCCATTTGTGAAGGCAGAGACCTTTGATTTCCCATTAGGCTTCACCTCCCAACACTGTGCCATTGGGAATTAAGTTTCAATATGAGGCCGGGCGCGGTGGCTCACGCCTATGATCCCAGCACTTTAGGAGGCCGAGGCAGGTGTATCACGAAGTCAAGAGATCGAGACCATCCTGCTCAACATGGTGAAACCCCGTCTCTACTAAAAATACAAAAAATTAGCTGGGCATGGTGGCACGTGCCTGTAGTCCCAGCTACTCAGGAGGCTGAGGCAGGAGAATTGCCTGAACCCAGGAGGCGGAGGTTGCAGTGAGCCAAGATTGCACCATTGCACTCCAGCCTGGGTAAAAAGAGCAAAACTCTGTCTCAAAAAAAAAAAAAAAGTTTCAATATGAATTTTGGAAGGGACAAAAACATTCAAACCACAGCAATGATCTTCATAATTCCTGAATTTAGCCAGGCACATAGTGAATACTCATGAGACAGCAGGTCGATCATAAGTTGGAATAAGCTTATATTATTGAACATCTGTTAAGTGTCAGGACTAGAGTAGCTCATATATGTTGTTTCCCATTAAAATGGGAGTCTACCAAGGTGTGAATCCATCAAGTTTTAGAAAATACTTATTAATATTTTTTTAAGTGGGCAATTTTTTTCTTTGAAGAACAGGAAAAGAAGAAACTGGCAGAAATAAGGGTCTCACATGCAGGTTCTTGCCTCTACCAGCCTGTACCTTGAAGACTGGGTTAGCTAAGAGCATTATTATCAAACAGGAGTCGAGGTGTGCTCTAAACACCTATTGCCAAAACTGGGTTAATATGTCAGCAAATTGCCCATACCCCTGTAATCTACAACTCATATGAAAGGTTCTAGCTTTCTAAAATTTCTATTAAATTTCTCATTCTAGATACTTCAGAAAGGCATTTTATTTGTCATTATTTCATAGTTTGGTTCTCATCAGCACACGTTGTCTGTGAGACTGATTTGTCCCTGGTTCTGGGCATACTCGCTTTTTGAGGCTATGACTTAAATACCTCTTACCTTGGTGATCTTTGAGAGTTTTTAAGCTCGATTTATTCTACATAGTTGCAAGAAACAAATAAGATCCGACGTGAAAGGACTTTGCAGAATTCTTAGAATATATTAGGTGCTAAATAAATTTAAACTACGACTAATAAGAATCTACAATTTTAATAGGGTCACCGCTAACAGGAGCATGATTTCTCCCTCGCAGCCCTAGGCATTTTGTTGTTTGCCTGTGCTGATTTTTTCACATCTCCTCCCATTTGCTCTGTGAAGGCAGCCATTCATATGTAAGTTCTTGCTACAGCCCCCTTTGTAACTGACGACTTTGGAATCTCTCAGGATCTCCTTATCTTTTAGGTTACAGGGCACTCTTTGCAACTGAATCCCATCTTTCCCGATGAAAGAATAAACCCTTCTTTCTGCAAAAGTTAACTGCCCAGGAACTTTGGATAAGTTGGAAGGTTTTGTATTTTTTCTCTATGAACTAAACCACCCAGTCACAGTGTGGTACATAATAAAGAAAAATGCATTTTTTTCTCACCAGTCTCCACCTTCAGCATGTAACTGCGTTTTATCCCACAACAAAGTGACAGTGGATAAAACTGTTCCGAATGGCATCATATACTAAATGACCAAACAGCATTTTCAACTCTAAAATCCCCACACATACAAAAAAGCGAGAGGCTGCCAAACACACCTGTGCCAACAGATCTGCACCTGCCTTCTTAAACACGGACCCCCAGAGCAGCCAGTGGCTGAGTGACATGCTCTCCACTTTCTTCTTCTGTGCCCACCCAGTACTGAGAGCTCCTTTGGAGGATCCTGTCTCTGTAACACAGTCTTTCTCCCTTTTTCTCATGCTCTTCTTCATCAGGAAAACAGCAGCACAGACTCTTGAGTCCTTCTTTATAAGGGCATAAAGGTATGTACACTGCTTCAGGAGAAATACTTCAGCAGAGTGTGATTATTTGCAGGCAATAACACAATACTGTCTGTATGTAAGACTGACACGAATTCTAGCCGGATTCAGCTGAAGAATCATGGCTTACATAAGAGTTTCTCCTAAGTATATTCTGGAATTATCTATGTAACTAAACTAATTAAGAAGTCTGCCTGAGTGGTTCCTCTGTTTCTGCCCATTCTTGAATTCATTCACTCATGAGGTTTCCATTTCTTGTAGCCTGATCTGTCTCATTTTTAAAACCAGAGATTCCAATTCATAGACCTCATCGTTATTTTGTAACATTTCCGCCCACTGAATGCATTTCTGTTTGCCCTTCTCCATCTTAATTCCCTCCATTTCCCCTGATGCCTGTGCAGAAGGATTCATCTGCTGTTTAGAGTTAGGCCAGTAGATGTCAGCCCTGGATACCCTGAGGACCTTAAAAGCACTTGCTCCAGCCATGGCCTTATCCTAGACAGACTGATTTAGAATCTCTAGAAGAGAAGCTTGTGCATCAGTGTTTTAAAAGCAGCTCAACTGAGGATATTGAATTACAATGAAGACCTAACCCATCCTCTTCCCTTAGGCTCCTCAAGAATCCCCTCCTCACTGGGCCCCAGTGAGCCCATTTACTGACATCAACCAACACTGTGACACGCCAGAGAGTTTGTCCAAGGAAACTCCAGGCCTGGAGAGAATAATAGGGCTTTTCATCACAGACCAAAGAAACGATATAAGATAGAAGAACCAAGTACCTCAAATATCCAAAATTCAGATTAACATTTTCAGCCTACTCTTCATGCATCTGCTTTGAAGCTAATAAAAACACAGAAGAACAGGAATAGGGTTAGGACCAGAACGAGCCTGTGGTTAAGGAGGCAAGGAGGTGCCCAGAGAACAAAACTGAAGGAGGTGCTCACTGTCGGTGCCAGCATTTCACTTGCATGACTTTAAGAACCCCACTTTACATTATCCTAGTCTTGGGGAGGAGCTGAAAAGAGCCATTTTCTAAAGGACTTCAGGGGTAGCTGTAATCATTCAGTTTAAATGAAGATTTTATAAAATCTTCACACTGATACAGTCTTCTCAGCACACTTAGGAGTGAGGTGTTAGAACGTCTTAAGTGAAAATTAAAATCTGTCATTAGTGCCCCCCATTCCAGCCCCGAAATCCTACTCCAGATATACCGTTTATAGAAGATTATGAAGGAGAAGTTCTCTTCAGAAGAGCAGAACGTTTCCGTTGGTTAGGATAGGGTCACAATAGTTTTTAACTGAAAGTCAAGTATATGATACCTTCTCTAGTAATATACTGAATATCTCTTAATTTCAATCCTTCATTCTTCCTGTTTTACCAAAAATAAATGAATCAATGCTTGTGAAATGCCTAGTCTAGAGCTGGCACAGTTCAGGGCTCAATAACCAGTAACAATTTTTTCTCACCAGGAACATAATAGAACTCAGGAAACACTTCTCATCAGCAATTCCACATTATTTAAAGATAGAGTCAAGCTTGGTACAGACCACAGACTCCACCTCTCTCCAGTCCGAATCTTTGATGACGGGCAGAAGATCTCTTGCCGCATCAGAGTCAGTGCTGACAAAATCTTGAGGAGCTCCACCACTGTCAAGGTTTTTGGTAAGGCCTTTTTTACTACGGACTTCCTGACCTCCTCCTGTCTCCCACCACGCTCTTCCCTGAGGAGGAAGCACTCTTTTATGCTGTAGAGCAGCCACCCAAGGGTAACAATGCTGGAGTCTGTTTCCCTGGATACTTGTCATGCTCTTTGGGGATGAGGAGGAGACAAGGGTAGGATGCTAAAGAATGATGATTCCACTAACAGAATAAAATTGTACAGAAAGCAATAATTTTCTGTGTTTGTCAGTTTTCTGTTGCTTACAACAGAATACCTGAAACTGCGTAATTTATAAAGAAAAGGAACTTATTACAAACAGTTGTGGAGGCTAAGTCCAAGGTCGAGGGGAGGCATCTGGTGAGAGCTTTCTTGCTGATGGGGACTCTCTGAAGAACGCAAAGGTGGCACAGGGTATTGCATGGCAAAAGGGCAGAGTATGCTAATGTGCTACTTCATGCCTCTCTTCCTCTTCTTACAAGGTCATGAATCTCCCTCCCATCATAATTCATGAATCCAACAACCCATTATTCCATGAATGGACTAATCTTATTCATAAGGGCAGAGACCTCATGATTCAATAACCTCTCAAATGCCCCAGCTCTCAATATTGCCATACTGGGGATTAAGTTTCAATATAAGTTTTGGAGTGGACATTCAAACCATAGCAGACAGATCAATATCCTGGTGACCTCTGTCTTATTTCCAACTTTACTGTTTCTCGGAATGCTGGAAATCTCTTTAATTCTAACTGCCAGAGTTGTCTAATTGTCTTAGCTGCTTGCTTGAGCAAGGTGGAGCAAGGGCAGTGAGAAGAGGAAAGTGATAAATAGAGCCCCAGGGAAACTGCAAAAGTTCCTCCCCTGCCAAGGCCAGCTGCGGGGAGACCATTCAGGTCAGCCCTTCCAGCAAAGGAGTCTTCGGGAATGGCCTTCCGAACCTGCATTCTCAGGAGAGTGGAGCCGAGCTGTGAAATCCACTGTGGCCTCACTCAAAACGCAGAGTCCATGCGGGTGCAAATTTAAGGAGGAAAGGTTAAAATTCCATTTTCCCCAGTGGTACAAGGAAGTACCACTAATTAATAAACATTGTTAATAAACAGAAGCCCCTGGCTTTGGATGTTTTTTCCTTTTTTTCGTGACAAAGATCTGTATTTTTTATAAAGTCCATTTTAAAGGAAAGCAAACGGAAAAGCAGTGAGGCAGACAGGCAATTAATTATTTCTGAAAATAAGATAAAGAGAAAATAACTTCACAAACCTACGGACACAAGCTGCTAGATTGTTCATCAATTCTCTAAAGGACTAGCATGCAAAAAAAAAATGGTTTTTACTTAGAATTGTATTGCCTTATTATTGGCAGTCATACAATTTAGTATTTTGAAGAAAACACAAAACCCCTCCCCGCTGGTTTTGGGTTCCCCTTAAGTAAAACGTTGAGATAAGGATTTGAGTTAATTTGTTTGAAAGGCCATCCTGGAAAACAATAGAAAAGGAGAAAGTGAGTCAGGAAAGGGAAGGAACGTAATAAAATGTACACTAGTATGTCAGTTACCATGATAGACTTAGAGCTCAATTTCACTGGAAGACAGCATAGGACACACATCAGAGTTATTCCACATGCAGGGCAAGAAAACTGGGTTCTTCTGTTATCACTATGAACTCTCTGGGACTCCCAGGTTTTACTACCTGTGCACCAAGTGTGCTCCCATAATCTCAATAAATCGTGATGCAAAGTGTCATAGTTACCCCAGAAACAGGTCTTCAGTGTGCACAGATGAATGCCAAGTGGCTGTAGCAGGCAGTGCCAGCGTCCATGACTACAGGTTTAGCATTTTTACCACCGAGTCACAGGAGGCTGTTCTGCTATGCTCAATCATTTACTAGAAGCCCCTGTGTTCAACATGATGTCCTTAATGTCTAGTTGGTGCTGGGCATTGTTAAGTGCTGGAGAAGAAGACATGGATAAAATACTGGCTTCGAGGCATTTAAAATCCAGTAAAACAACAAAATCACTGAAATATTTCCTGATTTTTCCTAGTGCCAAGCAACCAAACAAGAGTCAAATATTTCTCTGCTCCACTTCAGGGGCCTTCACAGTGAGACTTTATTTCTAAGCTACTTAATCCATTCTCATGTGGCTGATAAAGACATACCAAGACTGGGAAGAAAAAGAGGTTTAATTGGACTTACAGTTCCATGTGGCTGGGGAGGCCTCAGAATCATGGCAGGAGGAGAAATGCACATCTTACATGGCAGGAGGAGAAATACACATCTTACATGGCAGCAGCAACAGAAAAATGAGGAAAAGCAAAAGCAGAAATGCCTGATAAACCCATCAGATCTCATGAGACTGATTCACTGTTATGAAAATAGCATGGGAAAGACCAGTCCCCATGATTCAATTATCTCCCACGAGGTCCCTTCCACAACATATAGGAATTCTGAGAGATACAATTCAAGTTCAGATTTGGGTGGGGACACAGCCAAACCATATCATTTCACCCCGGCCCCTCCCAAATCTCACGTCCTCACATTTCAAAACCAATCATACCATCCCAACAGTCCCCGAAAGTCTCAACCCATTTCAGCATTAACCCAAAGTCCAAGTCCAAAGTCCCATCTGAGACAAGGTAAGTCCCTTCTGCCTATGTAAAATCAAAAGCAAGCTTGTTACTTCCTAGATACAATGGGGGTACAAGTATTGGGTAAATACAACCATTCCAAATGGGAGAAATTGTCCAAAACAAAGGCCCCATGCAAGCCCAGAACCCAGCAGGGCAGTCCAATCTGTGCCAGCAGGGGTTCTTCATGAGGGCTCTGCCTCTGCAGCAGACTTTTGACTGGGCATTCAGACATTTCCATACATCTTCTGAAATCTAGGCAGAGGTTCCCAAACCTCTATTTTTGACTTCTGTACACCCACAGGCTTAAGACCACGTGGAAGCTGCCAAGGTTTGGGGCTTCCACCCTCTGAAGCAACAGCCCAAGCTGTACTGTGGCCCCTTTCAGCCATGGCTGGAGCACCTGAGACATAGGGCACCAAGTCTGTGGGCTGCACATAGCATGGGGACCCTGGGTCTGGCCCACAAAATCACTTTTTCCTCCTGGCCCTCTGGCCTGTGATGGGCAGGGCTGCTGTGAAAGTCTCCGACGTGGCCAGGAGACATTTTCTCCATGGTCTTGGGAATTAACATTAGGGTCCTTGCTACTCATGCAATTTTCTGCTGCAAGCTTGAATTTCTTCTCAGAGAGTCAGTTTTTCTTTTCTATCATATAGTCTGCAAAATTTCCAAACTTTTATGCTCTGCTTTCCTTATAAAACTGAATGCCTTTAACAGCACCCAAGACACCTCTTGAATGCTTTGTTGCTTAGAAGTGTCTTCTGCCAGATACCCTAAATCATCTCTCTTAAGTTCAAAGTTTTACAAATCTCTAGGGCAGGGGCAAAATCCTACCCAGTCTCTTTGCTAAAATATAACAAGAGTCATCTTTGCTCCAGTTCCCAACAAGTTCCTCATCTCCATCTGAGACCACCTCAGCCTGGACCTTATTGTTCATATCACTATCAGCATTTTTGTCAAAGCCATTCAACTAATCTCTAGACGGTTCCAAACTTTCCAGCATTTTCTTCTCCTGAGCCCTCCAAATTGTTCACACCTCTGAATGTTACCCAGTTCCAAAGTTGCTTTCACATTTTCGGGTATCTTTTCAGAAATGCCCCACTGTACTGGTACCAGTTTACTGTATTAGTCTGTTTTCATGCTGTTAATAAAGACATAACCCAAGACTGGGAAGAAAAAGAGGTTTAATTGGACTTATTTTCACACATCTAGGGAGGCCTCAGAATCATGGTGGGAGGTGAAAGGCACTTCTTACATGGCAGTGGCAAGAGAAAAATGAGGAGAAGCAAAAGCAGAAACCCCTGATAAACCCATGAGATCTCATGAAACTTATTCACTGTCACAAGAATAGTATGGGAAAAATGAGCCCCACCTTTCCCAGGTCCCTCCCACAACACGTGGGAATTCTGGGAGATATAATTCAAGTTGAGATTTGGGTGGGGGACACAGCCAAACCATATCATAAGCCTTTGGACATGTAGAATGTTCCTCTTTTCTCTCCCTCCCAACAACCCATCCTCCACTTGCCCCACCAGTCTTCCACATTCCCAGTTTTACTTTACTTATCACTGATAACCATATCACATCTTCCAAAAGCCTCCTCCTATCTTCCAAGGTTAGGTTAGAAAATTTATTTAAAAGCTCTCTTCAAATCCTACATGTCCTCAATCATTATACTTACATCAGTTTATTATAACATTTAGTTTGTTTATCTGTATTCCAATGAAACTATAAATTTCTTAAGGACAGTGAATATTACTTGTTCACTGTTGTTTCCTCGGTATCTAGCATACTGCCAGACACACAGTGGGTGTTTAATAAATATTACTATTTGAGGAATGAAGATGACTTCTCATAGACACACACACACACACACACACACACACACACAAACGTAGCCAGGTAGGATGGCATTCAGTGTCACTAACTATGTTTTATTTGCCTTTAAGCTAAACCAGAAATCCCTGTGATTGTGGAAAATAACTCCATGGATGTCTTGGTAGAGGTTAGTCACATTAAAGCCTTTGAAAATCTATAGCATTAAGTGCAAGGTGTGTCGGGTTGCATAGTTGCCAGGAATGTTCTCTCAAAGGACTTTACTCCTTGGCCCTTGACCAATTAACTGCTAATAGGGATGAAGGGAAGCTGAGTTGTTTCTAGAAAGTGAATGGGTATTTTTACTTTTAGACTAAGGGCTCTCAGAATGTTTGATCTGCACTTTTAGTCCTTAAATTTCTCAGAAAAAAAATAGTTGTAATTGTTTAAACTTCTCTTTAATAAAAATTGATGTGGATAGTGAGGACAAGGTAGGGCAGAAAGCTGTGTGAATCCTGGTGTAAGAATGAGGTTTTTGCTCAGCTGATGCTTAATTTGTTCTAATCCATTTCCTTTACCCATTTTTCCATTGTTTTTATTTCAAAATGCCATGGGGAAATGTGCCCTCCTGTACTCCTGCAGAACCCTGGCTATGTCTCTGGTGGTAAAGAGGAAGGGCAGGAGAAAAAAGAAAGATGAACAGGGACCTCTGACTTAACTTCTTCTGGGTAGTAGTTACCAGCCTCTAGTCACTAGGATCTGGACTCAATTGCTCACTCTTCCTCTTGTGGGCTGTGATCTTGGGCAAATTACCTCATGCCTTTGCATACAGTTTCTCCATATATATGAAGTGAATAATAACAGTATCTTTACCTTGTTGCTGTTTTTATTTTTTTTGTGTGTGCTGTTTTTAAAAAATTAACTAACATATGAAAAAATCTAAGAACAATGTGTGCCATATATTGTTTAATAGACGTTATTGTTCTTGTTTTTCTTGTTATTACTATCATCTGTGTTAATCAACTTTCTGGTGGTTTTGTGACTTCAACCAAGCTTTTCAAAACCCTATATAAAACTATTCTCATTAATTCTCTAACATTTTCTATTACATGTGATGAGAGAAAATTATACTCATATTCTAGTTTCTTCTCACATCAATAACATTAAATAACTTACAATCTCTGGTCTCACCAAATACCAGTCACTTAATTTGATAGTTGCATACAAATCATAGCTTAGATTCATTGAGATGGTTTTGCATGACTCCATATATAGTCATGTGTATGTGTGTTTGTGTGTGTGTATATATATATACACACATATATATATGCACGTGTATATATATATCCTCCAAGTATTTGTGTCTTCTGCCAGTTTCATATATTCGTCTCTTAGATAACTGCTTGTATTAGTCCATTTGCATGCTGCTAATAAAGACATGCCCAAGACTGCGTAATTTATGCAGGAAAAGAGGTTTAATTGGACTTACGGTATCACATAGCTGGGAAAGCCGCGTGATCATGGCAGAAGGCAAGGAGGAACACTTCACATCTTACATGGATGGCAGCAGGCAAAAAGATAATGTGCAGGAAAACTTCCCCATCAGATTCCATGAGATTTACTAACACAAGAACAGCACAAGAAAGACCTGCCCCCACGATTCAATTACCTCCCACCAGGTTCCTCCCACAACACATGGGAATTCGAAATGAGGTTTGGGTGGTGACACAGCCAAACCATATCAGTCCACCCCTGGACCCTCCCAAATCTCATGTCCTCACATTTAAAAACCAATTATTCCTTCACAACAGTCCCTCAAAGTCTTAATTCATTTCAGCATTAAATCAAAAGTCCACAGTCCAAAGTCTCATCTGAGACAAGGCAAGTCCCTTCAGTCTATGAACCTTTAAAAAAGTCAAAAGCTTAGTTACTTCCTAGATACAATGGAGGAACAGGTATTGGATAAATACAGCCTTTCCAAATGGAAGATATTGGCCAAAACAAAGAGGCTACAGGCCCTGTGCAAGTCCGAAATTCAGTAGGGCAGTCAAATCTTAAAGTCCCAAAATGATCTCCTTTGACTTCATGGCTCCCATCCAGGTCACGCAGATGCAAGATGTGGGTTCCCATGGTCTTGGGCAGCTCTGCCCCTATGGCTTTGCAGGGTATAGCTCCCTTCTGGCTGTTTTCACAGGCTGGCATTGAGCATCTGCAGCTTTTCCAGGCACATGGTGCAAGCTGTCGGTGGATCTACCATTCTGTGGCCTGAAAGATGGTGGTCCTCTTCTAACATCTCCACTAGGTGGTGTCCCATTAGGGACACAAGCCCTGGCCCTGTGACTTTTGCAGGATACAGCCTCCCTTCTGGCTGCTGTCATAGGCTGGTGATGAGTATCTGCAGCTGTTCCAGGCACACATGAAAGCTGTCGTTGGGTCTACCATTCTGGAGTCTGAAGGATGGTGGCCTTCTCACAGCTAAACTGGGCAGTGGCCTGGTAGGGACTCCAACCCCACATCTCCCTTTTGTACTGCCCTAGCAGAGGTCCTCCATGAGGGCCCCACCCCTGCAGCAAACTTTTGCCTGAGCATTCAGGTGTTTGCATAAATCTTCTAAAATGTAGGCAGAGGTGCCCAAACCTCAATTCTTCACTGCTGTGCACCAGGAGGCTCAACACCACGGTGGAAGCTGCCAAGGCTTGAGGCTTCCACCCTATCAAGCAACAGCCCAAGCTGCACCTTGGCCCTTTTTAGTCATGACTGGAGTGGCTGCGATGCAGGGCACCAAATCCCTACACTGCACACAGCATGGGAACCCTGGGCACTATCCACAAAACCATTTTTCCTCTTAAATCTCTGGGCCTGAGATGGAGAAGCTCCTGCAAAGTCTCTGACATGCCCTGGAAATGTTTTCGCCATTGACTTGGTGATTAACATTCAGCCTATCATTACTTATGCAAATTTCTGCAACCAGCTTGAATTCTCCTCAGAAAATGGGATTTTCTTTTCTATCACTTTGTCAGGCTGCAAATTTTCCAAATTTTTATTCTCTGTTTCTCTTTTGAAACTGAATGTCTTTAACAGCACCCAAGTTACCTCCTGAGTACTTTCCTGCTTAGAAATTTTTTTCTGCCAGATATCCTAAATTATCTCTCTCAAGTTCAAAGTTCCACAGATCTCTAGGGTAGTGGTAAAATGCCACCAGTCTCCTTGCCAAAACCTAACAAGTCACCTTTGCTCCAGTTCCTAATAAGTTCTATCTAAGACCACCTCACTCGACCTTATTGTTTATTACTATCAGCATTTTTGTTAAGGCCATTCAACAAGTCTCTAGGAAGTTCCTAATATTCCCATATTTTGCTGTCTTCCTCTGAGCCCTCCAAACTGTTCTAACCTCTCCCCATTACCAAGTTCCAAAGTCGCATCCACATTTTTGGGTATTTTCTCAGCTACACCCCACTCTCCTGATACCAATTTACTATATTAGTTCATTTTTATGCTACTGATAAAGACATGTCCAAGACTAGGTAATTTATACAGGAAAAAGGGCTTAATTGGACTTACAGGTCCATGTGGCTGGGGAATCCTCACAACCATGGTGGAAGGCAAGGTGGTATATACCACATCTTACATGGATGACAGCAGGCAAAAAGGGAATGTGCAGAAAAATTCCCCCTTATAATAACCATCAGATGTCATGAGACTTACTCTCACAAGAACAGCATGGGGAAGACCTGCCCCCATGATTCAACTTCTCCCACTGTGTCCCTCCCACAACACGTGAGAATTCAAGATGAGATTTGGGTGGGGACACAGTCAAACTACATCACTGCTGATTATTATAATCCTGATTATACAGCAAAAGATTTAATCATTTTTGTTGTGTCATAACTTAATTTCTAAGTTTATTAGTGAACTTCAATAGTTTACATTTCAAAAATAATCTAATTATACAGCTTTTCATAGGTGTTTTTGATTTTTGTAAGGATCTCTAATAGATTCCTGGTGCCACTGTTTACAGGTAATATGGGCTCAATCCGGATATAGAACCGTACACTGGATCCAAGAATCCCAGTTAAAAAAAAATTAAAATTAAAAAAAGAGAAACTTTGCCTAATGCACCATAAAATTTTCTCTTCTTTGCCCTTGCTTGCTTCACTGCTGACTAAAAAAACCAGAGAATTCTACTCCCTAGAGAATTAGTGAATAATCTTTCTCCAATCCCACACAACCAGCTACAGGACATGACTTGTCTATGAAACTTTTCAGATCTTGCCAAACATTAGCAATTCCTTGCTCTAATATTCTTACAATCCTTGCTGCATCTTTAATAATTTATTAACTCTTCAAAATCCTTTCATATACTTTTATCTTGTGGTGCTCCCCAAGAACCTCTGAAGTAGATAGGGCATCTGTCATTTACAGAATGGGCCTGAGAAGTCTCAACAACTAACTGAGTCACTGACAAGGGGCAGAGCTGGGATGCATAGTTAGTGTGCCTGTATCCAGGCAGAAGAGTGTTGTTATGATGGAAGGATATCATGCTTCAGCTTCAGAGAGCACAAGCGTCAAGTCCTAATTCAGCTACTTAGCTGGTTACATACATTCATCAACTAGTTAACCCCCACGAGCCTCAGCTAACTCATTTCTAAAACTGGGATAACAACAAATACCTCACAGGGTTCTCAGGAAGATTAAATTCATGCACTAATGGAGTACATGTCATATAGCAGACATTTCAGGAATATTTCTTCCCTAACCACTATCTATCCTTTACCCACTCTCTTATGTTCACAAATCGGCTGTGTGACTGATTCTAGCAGACACTGTGGAATAATTGTTTTAAACCCAGAATTCAGACTGGGGAATCTGATAGAACTAGGTTTGAATTCTCTTCCAGTGCTTATTAACTCTGGCCCCTAGGAACTCAGTTCCTTAACTTCCTCAACAGTAAATGAGGGCAATGGCTCCAACCTGACAAGGGTGAAATAAGGATCATACGAGAGAATGTATGCAAAATACCTACCACAAGTGTTTGGTAGTGTTTCAAGTTCAACCACAAGTTGAACGAGCAACCAAAAGTGTTTGGTCTTGGCAATTTCCTACCCTTCCTTCATTCCTTAGAAATTCTTGAAGTCAACATGCACATGCTACCTATTCACTACACTAGCTGCCTGCAGTGTGGAAATACTTCAGGGACTTGGTCAGTTTTGAGCTGTGTCTGTCAGTGTTACTAAACTCACAACATTTATGGCTAATGTTAGTATTCCTGTAAAATACAAAAGACCCAAAAGTAGGATGCCCCTCAGGTGTGGACATGCCATAGATGTCTACGGAGGGTCTCCCACCTGTGAATGTTGTGTCTTGTGCATTCCCAAAGCCGAGATTTTGCCAGGGCTCCAGCATGGCACACAGCTTCACTCCTGCACTACAACGAGAAGAGTCTTTAAGGTAAATTTCAGGGCCCTTCCATTTGGCACGTTTTTGTATTAGAGCAAAAGATGTCAAGCCGAAGAGCCCCTCAACTCACAGCTGATGATGCAGCATAAGAAGGCACAAGAGGGATGCATAGGAAACCCAGCATGTGCTCAACAGTTCACGCTTTCCACAAGCCGCACGTGTCTCTCTTATGCTTGTGCTTTATTCTTTAGCCCCGTCATCTCCAGGGGTCTTGTCTGTATCACTCGCTACCTTTGTTATGTTTGAAAGAAATTCAGGGGAAAAAAAAATCTCAAGAAAACTACCTACCATGAAATGTGGGAAACAAAAACAGCTTAAAGTTAAGAGGCCCACGAAGGAAGAGGAGCTACAATAATAACAACAATGCAAAACAGACCCAGAATCTAAAAACCACACCGACTGGCATCAGCAGAGCTCCAGCAGCTGTGTGTGGAATTTGGTTAATTGTGTTTATTTGGTTTGGGTTTTACGAAGCTTGAACCCTGCGGTTTCCTCAATCGTCTTAAGCCCCACTCCAAACATATGTGTTTTGGTTTTTGTGTTTTAAATGATTAGGTATTATGGCTCCTGTTTTTCCTAGCATCTTTGGCAACACAATAAGGTTCTGAGTCCAAATGTCCAGGCATCGTCGCTTGCACCACAGATAGAGAAGGTTCTAAAACGGTACCACCCCTCTGTGAGGAGACCATATGACAAGGGAATCTTTCCTAATCTAGAGTAGATCTCTACATTTAAAGAAAGAACATTACAGGCCTTCAGTGTAGCCTGGGTATTTCACAAGCCTGGTGTTTGGACTTTAGCTGGTTCCACAAACAGCTCTTAGGGAAGACAGTTCTGGCAGTTAGGGCTGCCTAGCAAGTCTAGGAGGAATATGAGTGAACCACATAGGCCAGGACCAAAGGAGGCAAGACACCATTGTTTACACAAGGACACCCTCTGCTTTCAGAGAGGTTGGTGCCCACAAAGCACCTGGGCTATCTATGCGACAACGGGATGCTTCTTTATCTATTCCTGTCTTCCCGAGCTCTTTCGCCACTCCATCCCCATTCCCAACTCCGGTTTGTTTTTTGTTTTTTGGTTTTTTTAATGTGTGTGTTTGGTTTCTAGAGGAATGTATCTTCCATAACAAATGTCAAATGTCAGCTCCAGTGCAAAGGCCAGAGCAGTTTCCAGTTTGATTTCATTCTATTCTAAATTAATGTTTTAGGCATACTCTCAGCAGCCCAGGAAACTATCCTCTCCCTACAGACTGTTAGGATCTCTTTTCTCCAAGCATCTCTCAACAGTTAAACAGTTCAAAAAAATCCAAGAACAGTGGATTGACATGCAGTCAGCATTTCAGAGGTATGAGTAAAATCTAAAACTACTGTTCAAATAAATAACTGGTCTGTGGCCACAAAACAAAACCAAGTTAACTCATTAAAATTGACCTCAGGATCTAAGAAAATGTACTCCATCCTTCCCTCATTCAGTCAGTCATGTGCTCTTCTATTTTCATGATGAATTTTCCCTAGAGCACTCTCTTCCCCATCTTTGCATTTCTTCTCTCTCCCAGTTCTTTCTAAATTTCCTTCCTCTGTTCTTTATTTCTTACTTCTTCTATAGCTCTGCCTTATCATTCTGAGTTTCTTTCAGCTCTTCCTCACTAACTTCTTTTCCTTTGACAAGCCTTAATATGAATTAGATTATATTTTAAGAATTTATGAATAAGTTTTTATATACCCTATACTGAATGTCTGAACCCAATGAGCTGAAAGGTTTTTTATTTTCTCTGTGCTAATTACACATTAATTAGTTTAAGCATTAGATTGTTGAAAAGACTCACAGGACTCAGACAGATTACACTGATGAAACACGTTTAATATGAGCAAGACGGCACATCACAGCAGAAACAGGAGAAAGATATGCATTGGAAGGGTCCAAAGATCTCAGGCTCACAATCGTCCTTCTACTTGCTGGGTCACACAGAACAAGTTTTGTATTCACACTGGTGGTCTGGAAGCACCACCAGGATATGTGTTATGACCTCAGTCCAAGGAGGATTAAGCTGTGCTTCTGGCAGGATATCTGCAAGTGAGCTGGTCACATAGGCACATTCCAGCTACCTAACCAGCCTCAGCCCATCAAAATCTTCAGCTCCACCAAAACTGAGTGCTAGGCAAAAATCTGATTATTTTGTTAAACAATGCTGACTGCCTGGTATATTCTGCCCTGAAACAACTCAGAGTTTTATTTTGGTAAAAGCCTTTATCTTCAGCAGGTACATTTTAGAGTTTCGGCAAAGGGTTAGCACAGCTCTAGGAAGCCTGTAGATAAGCATTTGGTGAATTCAGACCTGCTCAGATTAATTCGGACTGTGCATTATTTCACATAAAAGCAAAATGTCACTAAACTACTTTGCTTTACATTTGAGTTGAAACTAAAATGGCTCTTTCTAGAACTCTACAGCCAATGTGTGCAGAATTGATGCTCCAAGCCCAATTTAAACAAAAGGGAAGGGATGTACTGCTGCAGGTGGCTCTTCATCCTGCTGGCATGCCTCCTTCTCAGCCCTCACCTTCCACTTCATCTCCAGGATGGCCCTTTCCACCTCCTCCAGGGCTCGCTCCCTTCTTTCCACAGCCCTCTCCCTCCACTCTACTGCCCTTTCTCTCCTAAGCACCTCCTTTTCCCTTTGGCTGGCCCACAAAGCCATGGCACCCACCTGCTCCAGGAGCCTGCCCCAGGCACCTTCAATGCCTGTGAGGAGCTGGGGCCTGTGGGGCCTTGGATCCGGGCGCTGCCCAGCCTGACCATGGCCACTCTTCTCCAGCTCCTCTCTGTGCATGCTTTTCAGATGCTTCCACAGGGCTGTGGTGCCCACGTTGACCCCAGGGCCCCGGCTCACCTGCCTGCCACACAGGCGGCAGGTGGCATATTGGTTGGGATGGTGCCCAGCACGAGCAGGAGCCAGGTGGAAATACTCCCATGCCTCAGAAAACCGGGTGCCCTTGTTGTGGGGCACTGGAGTGGGCATAGCACTCACAAAAGGGCCAACCACTTCTCCTGTCTCACTAATCTCTTCCTCTTCCTTCATCTCTAAGTCTCCTTTTGCCTTCATCATGGTTCCCTCCTCTTCCTCCTCTTCCCGCCTCATCATGTCTTTTCTTCTACAGTGTAGATGTGAGCCAAAGTTTATTTGAACCGCAAGATTAAATGTATATTTGGGAAGAGACTACAGTAACGCTTGGGGATTCTCAGTCATGGCCAAAGTCTGGCCACACCTGGGTGGTGTGATGTTTCTTTCTTTCTGCTTCACTGGAGAGTCAGGACTGAGTCAGATACAAGCACCACGGCCTGAGTGCATTCCTTCCATGCCCAAGATACTTCCTTATCCTCCCTTGACTAGGCCAGGAAGACAAAACACATCAGTTCCTGTAGCAAAGGAATTCTCTGGCCAAAAATTAAAAAGTTCTCTGACGAACTCAGTGTTCTCTGCATCAACCACAACAGGTATTTTTAAATATTGAACATTTTAGGTTTTCTTGTTTCTCCTTTTGGTTGTTTTCACTGTTTCTATGCCTCTTATTTTCTATAAATGCGTTTTGGAGACAGGAGAAACAGCCTCAGGGTTCCGGGTTTTCAGGACCAACGGGGCTGGGCCCTCACTGGGTCTCATTCAGAGTAGCTAAAAGCCAACACAGGCAGATGCTGATACAGAAGACAATCTTGCTTCCTAAGAATTGTTGCAATGAGCAATCCAGAGTAGACAAAGCCTATGAGGATCTGGATAAGAAAGTTCCCAATTCAAGGTCAGCTTGTCCTTAGAGGCGTCTCTCGGGGGCCAGAAGTCTAAGAAATCCAAACAGCAAGCTCAGCTCTTTCAGCAGAAGGAGCAGGAATGCTCAGGGGAGAAGGTGGAGCACCTCTTCACAGACATGGTGTTGCCTGGCTGTCCTTAGCAAGCAGCTCACCATACTCCACCTTCTCCAGCAGGATCACCTGCAAAGCCAACACCAGTAAGACCTTCCTGAAGCACGTTACTGCAGATGTTTTGTTCTTTATCTCATTTTAAAGATAAATACGTAAATGGAAAATCATATTGCATTTTTTAAAAGGCTGACCTCTCTCCTTTCTTGAGTCATTTCTTAAATGAATGAGAGTATTACATAATCAAACTTTGCAATCCTAAACAGTTAGGAAACTTCCCCCTAGCCACAAGTGGGTACTTACAAGCAGGCAAGGCTCTGGACTTCTCTGATCTTTCTTGTGCAGAGTGAATGAACTCCTGCACACCTCAGGTGGCTATTAGCTGACTCCTACCCAGAAAAGGAGGGCACCTCCAGTTCTGGTTTCCTCCCACTTCTAGGGAAGCATTGTTTCCAAGTAGGTGTGTCTGTGCCTGTCAGGTTTTTCTGCAACACTTAGACACAGATGCAAACCTTTTCTCCACCCCCTCCACAAGCAAGAAAAGGATGTTCCTGGCATATGTCATGCAGCAAAACAGGAAGTCAAGCACCTACGACTTCGTTCTCTTTTCTGATGACTAGATTATCTAGCCTCTCAAATAAAGAAAGAGATTTAAAGGGGGAAGAATGGGAAATGAATGGAAAATAAATAACTGGTCTGTGGCCACAAAACGAAAACAAGTTAACTCATTAAAATTGACCTCAGGATCTAAGAAAATGTACTCTATCCTTCCCTCATTCAGACAGTCATGTTCTCTTCTAATTTTTTTTTATGTCCTTGAATAAGATCTGAAGGTCTTAATGGACCACAAGCTCGAGAGGAAGGAGACCTTCCTCTGTACCTCTTGGACCCTCTCCTCCATTGCGTCTTTTTTTTTTTTTTTTTTTAGGAAGAGAAAGGGAGAGAGAATGGGAGTGTTGTTTTATTCTAAAAATGGGTTTTGAAAACCTCTTTTATGCCAATAATTGTGCTTAATAATGGCCAACCAATATTTCATTTAAACCTGTGAGTAGGTGTGATGTGGTACTGATAAGAGTGTATATTCTGTGTATTTAAAGTGGAGAGCTCTATAAATGTTCATTAAGTTTACTTGTTCCGGATCTGAGTTCAAGTCCTGGGTATCCTTGTTAATTTTCTGTCTTGTTGATCTAATATTGATGTTGAAGTCTTCCACTATTCTTGTGTGGGAGTCTAGGGAGGCTAAGTCTCTTTATAGGTCTTATGTATCTGTGTGTTCCTGTATTGGGTGCGTATATATTTAGGATCGTTAGCTCTTTTTGTTGCATTGATCCTTTTACCATTATATCTTTGTTGCTTTAAAGTCTATTTTATCAGAGGTGAGAATTGCAACTCCTGCTTTTTATTTATTTATTTATTTTTGCTCTCCATTTGGTTGGTAAATCTTTCTCCATCCCTTTGTTTTGAGTCTTTGTGTATCCTTGCATATGAGATGGGTCTGGATGCAGCATACTGATGGGTTTGGCTGTATCTTTTGATTGGGGGATTAGTCGATTTAAATTTAGGATTACTGCCATTTGATGTTAGCTGGCTGTTTTGCCCATTAGTTGATGTAAATTCTTCATTATGTTGATGCTCTTTACTTTTTGGTATATTTTTGGAAAGGCTAATACTGATTGTTCCTTTCTATGTGTAACGCTTCTTTCAGAAGCCTTGTAAGGCAGGCCTGGTGGTAATGAAATCTCTGAGTACTTGCTTGTTCATAAAAGATTTTATTTTTCCTTCACTTGTGAAGCTTAGTTTGGCTGGATATGAAATTCTGGGTTGAAAGTTCTTTTCTTTAAGGATGTTGAATATTGGCCCCCACTCTCTTCTGGCTTGTAGGGTTTCTGCTGAGAGATCTGTTGTGAGTCTGATAGGCTTCCCTTTATGGGTAACCTGACCTTTCTCTCTGGCTGCCCTTAGTATTATCTCCTTCATTTCAACCCTGGTGAATCTAACGATTATGTGCCTTGGGGTTGCTCTTCTTGAGGAATATCTTTGTGGTGTTCTCTGTATTGCCTGGAGTTGAATATTGTCCTGCTTTGCTAGATTGGGAAAGTTTTCCTAAATAATATCCTGAAGAGTATTTTCCAGCTTGGATTCATTCTCTCCGTCATATTCAGGTACACCTATCAAACGTAAATTAGGTCTTTTCACATAGTCCCATATTTCTTGGAGACTTTGCTCATTCCTTTTTATCCTTTTTTTCTCTATTCTTGTCTTCTCGTTTTATTTCATTAAGTAGGTCTTCAACCTCTGATTTCCTTTTTTCTGCATGATCAATTCGGCTGTTAAAACTTGTGCATATTTCGTGAAGTTTTCGTGGTGTGTTTTTCAACTCTGTTAATTCACTTATATTCCTCTCTATATTGTCTATTCTTTTCAGCATTTTGTCAAACCTTTTTTCAAAGTTCTTAGTTTCTTTGGATTGGGTTAGAACAAGTTCTTTTAACTCCCAGAAGTTTCTTATCATCCACCTTCTGAATGGAACACAGTCCTTCTCCATCAGGCCTTGTTCTGATGCTAACAAGGAACTGTAATCCCCTGTAGAGGGAGAGGGGTTCTGATTTTGGGTATTCTCAGCCTTTTTAGGCTGGTTTCTTCCCTTCATTATAAATTTATCCATCTGTCATCTTTGTAATTACCGCCTTTCTAATTAGGTTTCTGAGTGGACGTCCAATTTATTGATTCCCAGCGCCGGAATCTGAGCAACCCACTGCGCCAGCTAAAACAGCGGCGCTAAGATTGATGGTGCTTTTCTGCCGGGGAATCTCCAGTCTGGCTTCCTTCTTGAGTCTGTCCTTCAATCAGCTGAATAGGTGACTCTGCCTTCCCTGAGCTCCAAACGTTGGTCAAAAGGGTCCCATTTATTCTGCACCAAGAACCGCCGCGCCAATGTGCCGGCAAAATTGCCACCCCAGCCACAAGAGTCACGCTGGCGACCTCTGGGAATCTCCTGGTCCGTGAGCAACAAAAATTAGTCTGAAAGTGTGGCGTCCTCTCATTCTCTGAGCTTTCACTGGGAGCTACAATCCCAAGTTGTTAGCGATCAGCCATCATCTTTTTTTTTAACCAATCCATTTTTTAATTCTTAAATTCTTGACATTACAGAACTAAACTGAAATTTATTAACATTCCACTCTTACATTTCTTATCGACAAACAAGAAATAAAATTCATGAGCCAAAAAACCCAAAACAAAACTAAAATCAGGGAAAAGCTTATAAAACTAAATATGGATCCCAGCATTAACAGCTGAACAGAGAATGTGATTTTTAAATTCTTAGCGGATGATAAAGTTGTGTAAAAACTGAACCCTTACAAATTATTTAAAACCTGGAATCACTTCTATGTCTATGTTCTCTTCTATTTTCATGATGAATTTTCCCTAGAGCACTCTATTCCCCATCTTTGCATTTCTTCTCGATCCCATTTCTTTTTAAATTTCCTTCCCCTGTTCTTTATTTCTTACTTCTTCTACAGCTCTGCCTTATCATTCTGAGTTTCTTTCAGCTCTTCCTCACTAACTTCTTTTCCTTTGATGAACCTTAATATGCAATTAGATTATATTTTAAGAATTTATGAATAAGTTATTATATACCCTATACTGAAAGTTTAGGAAAATGTATATATACAGTATAATATATATATTACATATATATACTGTATGTATATGTATATGTGTATATACACATACATATATATATGTATACTGTATGTTATATATAATATACATAATATGTATGTGTATACATATTTAGGTTGAGAAGGAATACCTACCAAGAGGAGATAGGAAGACTCTAAAGAAGGTATCAATAGAAGAAAAAAAAAAAACTTCCCTGTTGTAAAAAAAAAAGATAGAAATGGCATAGCCGACCAGCCGCAGTGGCTCATGCCTATAATCCCATCACTGTGGGAGGCCGAGGCAGATAGATTGTTTGAGGTTAAGAGTTTGTGGCCAGTTGGCCAACATGGTGAGACCCTGTCTCTTCTAAAAACTACACAAATTATCCAAGTGTGGTAATGCACGCCTGTAATCCCAGCTACTCAAGAGGCTAAGACAAAAGAATTGTTTGAACACAAGAGGCAGAAGTTGCAGTGAGCAGCCTGGGTGACAGAGAGACTCTGTCAAAAAAAAGAAAAAAAGAAAAAGAAATGCATAGCAGAAAACATGTAGAGGTAGAGGTTGACAGTTAAATTAAAATGAAAGAAAAAAATATGGGGGAAGATTCAAAATAGGAGTGAGACTGCAAGGAGTTTAGAACATGAATTACATTTCTAAACCAAATCTTGGAACACAGAGTGTAGATATAGTATAGAATATTTGAATCATTTCAGAAAATCTTCCTTAGAGAATTCATGAAAGTCAAAACTTTTCGACATTTTTAGAAGTTAACAAGAGTGTTCTTCTCTGAGCCAGCTACCCTTGTAAAATAATAACAGTCTCACTTACTCCTGATATGACTATATTGTCAGCTTTTGGTCAGTTAACTAAAGATAAAGGAAATGAATCATGGGAACTGTTAATGTCACTGGATTAATGCAACCCTTTGTATCTTTTTCTTTTTCTTTCTTTCCTTTTTTTTTTTTTTTAAACATTTTACCTCCTATACCTTTTAATCTTTTCTTGGCCAACTGGAAATAAAAATCATTCTTTGGCATCTACTGAATTAAATAAACTGAACACTCACCTTTACTTAATAAGAATATATTTTAGAGGATCTGGTTTTACTTTTAATTTTTTAGTGGAGAGAATAGCATCCCTTGCCTGTATATGTATTCCCATTATCTGGAAAAGCAGGTGTTGAACAAATGGGAATACTGGAGCTATGGTGTTTGTCACCCAGCATCTTGGACATGCTGGACAACCCCCTCTGAAATTCTCTTGTTTCTTTGGGATTTCTGCAGCAATGTACTGAGGAATGGTAAACCTCAGTAGCATCTGACCAGGAAAATGTTATTTAGCATTCGTGAGTTTGGTTTCTCAGCTCTGTAGGTCCAGACTTCTTGGGAGCAACTAGTCTGTGGATAGGCACACAGATCATCACATACATGTAATTGTTCTTTACATGTTAACTGGTATATTCATTAATTGTGGAAAATATCTGGGAACTAAGAAGTATGGATGGTCATATGTAAAATATTCACAACTCTTGATGAGAAAACAAGTACTTAGAAATGGAATTATAACTTTGAAGAGTCTCAAATAAAACAATGGGAAACCAATAATTCTCACTGGATATTTTCACCAGGCTGTTAAAGAAAGTATCATCCTCCAAAGAACAAACACAGTATTGAAAATAAAATGTAAATAGCGCTGCATCTAAGTTCTTTGCTTTCATAATACAGCCACTTGTGTCATTTTTTATTTCAATACAATTTTTATTTAAAAATGTGTTGGACTGAGATTAAGGAGACATTATTTCTAATTGTGCCATTAACTATTTTCCACTTTCTTGAACCACCGAGTGCTTGATTTTTCCATCTGTCAAATGGCGAAAATAAGGCATGCCCTACCCATTCGTAAGATTAAGCCAATAAATTTTTTAAAAAATTAAGAAAACTCTTTGTAAGTAAAAAGCAGGATATTTATATTAAATGGTTTCTGTGGCCGTTACAAATGGTGTCTTACGTTGTTTGGGGAACAGAAACACCGTGTAGACCCCCTTGAGTGTTTCGTCTACGGACTATTCTTATCTGGCCTCTGTTATAGCTTCTTCCTTCTATTCTTTGCTGCATTATTTTATTGTGCCTATACAGAGTTAAGATTTCTGTTTTACAGAACCCGGAATCCAGACTGGGAACATTAGCATAGTCCTAGATCCTTAAGTTGACCTAGAAGTGCAGCCAGAAGTTTATACCATCTCTACAGGAGATAACCCATTTAGAGTGCACATTCCAACACAACCTATGTTAAAAGTAGACACTGCCTTCTATTGATGCAGTTAAAAGTGGAGAAATTAGTTTTCAACTTATGTTATATGAATGTTAGTAAGATGTAAGGAGTATCAGTTTCTTCAGCATTTGCAAATGACCCTTTTTCTGTCTTTACCCTAGAGAACATTTACCTGCTCACTAAAGAATGTATTTCCCAAAGCAAATATCACATGGTTTATAGATGGAAGTTTCCTTCATAACGAAAAAGAAGGTAAGGAAATTAATCAATTGAAATAAGTTAAGCACAAAAAGAAAGAAAACAAAGAACATTAGACATGTCACTGCCCAAGCTGATCTTGGCATTTCAGAATAACTCTCATTCCAAGAAAAACATTATTCTGCCTACCAAATGTCATTTTCTGATGCTTCATCTGGCTCTTCCAAGGGGGTGGAGTACAACATTTTCCAGAAAGAAAGAAATACAATTGATTTAGACAAATAACATCCAAACATTTTATTTAACTGTTAGTAAAAGAAATACATGAGGACAAAAAGTTTAAATCTACACACGTTTATTAAAACATTTTCTGTCTTTATAACATAGCTACCTGTTTTTCCATGTCTTTCTTATTTCAATACAATGTGTTCAGTTAACTTAGCACCACTGCTTTAAATCAATCAATAAATAATTTCTACCTTTCCATGGAGGATCTGGGGCAGGTGTTAGCGGAGCACTAGAGGAAGCGTACGTAAAAGAGTTGGCTCCTTGACAAGGCACATGTTCCCCAGGAGGATTAAAAGTTCCTGGAGAAGGAACACACATCAAGACAAGCTCAGGTTATAATTCACAAACCCTTTTTTTAGATGGAGTCTCGCTCTGTCATCCAGGCTGGAGTACAGTGGCATGATCTCAGCTCACTACAACCTCCGTTTTCCATTTCAAGCGATTCCCCTGCCTCAGCCCCCTGAGTAGCTGGGACCACAGATGCATGCCATCACACCCAGCTAATTTTTTGAACTTTTAGTAGAGAAAGGTTTTAACCATGTTAGCCAGGATGGTCTCAATCTCCCGATATCGTGATCCACCCGCTCTGGCCTCGCAATGTACTGGGATTGCAGGCGTGAGCAACAGCGCCCAGCCCCAAAGCCATATTTTTATAGGTAGTGACCATCACAGCTTCTACCAGAATTCCCTCAGCTGCCCCTGCCTGAACAACAGCCATTCTTCTTTCTTCCGAGTCATTATTCCTCAAAGTTCAATCTGTCTTCAATAAACGAAGTCACACAACTCTCTGAATTATTTTTTAAGTGATACAATTGAAAGCTTATATTGATGAATGTATTGATCACTTAATGCATTTTGAGACTATTACTGGTTGTATTCATTTAAAACAACACTTCACCCATAACAATGACAGAATGCAATTCAAAAAATACATGTTAAAAGTTATTATAGGCCAGGCGCAGTGGTGCATGCCTGTAATTCCAGCACTTTGACAAGCAGAGGCAGGCAGATCACCTGAGGTCAGGAGTTTGAGACCAGCCTGACTAATATGGTGAAACCCCGTCTCTACTAAATACAAAAAATTAGCCAAGTATGGTGGTGGGCACTTGTAAGCCCAGCTACTTGGGAGGCTGAGGCAGGAGAATCGCTTGAACCCAGGAGGCAGAGGTTGCAGTGAGCAAAGATTGTGCCACTGCACTCCAGCCTGGGCAACAAGAGCAAAACCCTGTCTCAAAAAGAAGTTATTATAAATATATTATCCTGTTAAACAAGCCCTGCGAAAGAAAGCACCCAGATTTGGTGTGCCCATTAATCCCAAACAAGAGGCTAGATGTGTGGTCAGAATTGAACAGGCACACAACAGCATTTAGCTATTACTTTGGTAAGTAATTATGTCAGAATTGGTGTTAAGAATCTTTAATGTGAAAAGCTGTGAGTATCCAAAAAATGATGACATAACTGATAGTTGGTTTTACATTAAATTTCTGCTGCTTGGTATGCAATTTGGAGGTTGTCATAACAGTTTAAAATAGAGTTTGATTCCTAAAGAAGACTCACAGGACCCAAAATGGCAATTCTTACACATCTACAGCTTATTTCGAGAAGACAACATATCAAAAAGATTACAACATGCATCATATTCTATCCTACACTTACAGTGAGGAGTCCAGAGAAGTCAGATATGAGCTCCTTCGTCCTCCCTCTCTAAGGGCCACAGCGAGACACACGTCCTCTCTCAGATCAGGGACCGCTGATACATACACAGAACAGCTCAGCAGTGGGAAGTCCAAAACAGAATCCCAACTGAGATTGCTTTCTATTTTACTGATCACTTAGGTATATTCCTGCAACATAATCAGACTCCACAGCAGAGCTCTCCAAGGTCTACCTTAGACTAGGTGTGAATTACCAGTCTCACAGTTGTCAACAAACAATGCTGATGAGCTTGGATAATCTGTCCCAAAACATTTTGGAAACATAGTCACAAATAAACCAAGACTATTAATTAATATGTTTATACCCTGACCGTGGATCAATTACATGCAGGAACTTGAGCAAACAGCTCAAGTTATTTCCAGAGCTGCTGAAACTGACCCTCACATCAGAGAGGCTGTCACTGACCACTTTAGACTTTACATTACCATAAATTGATTGTGCCATGGCTTGGCATTATGGTATGGCTCATACATAAAACGTTACTAACCATGTTCTTATCTGTCTCATAGGAATATATATTACTAATGAAGACAGAAAAGGCAGAGATGGATTTTTGGAGCTGAAGTCTGTTTTAACAAGGGTGCATAGTAATCAGCCAGCCCAATCAGACAACTTGACCATTTGGTGTATGGCTTTGTTTCCAGTTCCAGGAAATAAAGTGTGGAACATCTCATCAGAAAAGATCACTTTTTCCTTAGGTGAGTTGTCTAATAAGATCATGAAGGACTGGCCAAGACTGCCATAAATCCAGAACATCTTTTTCTTTTTTTGAGACGGAGTTTTGCTCTTGTTACCCAGGCTGGAGTGCAATGGCGCAATCTCGGCTCACCGCAACCTCCGCCTCCTGGGTTCAGGCAATTCTCCTGCCTCAGCCTCCCGAGTAGCTGGGATTACAGGCATGCGCCACCATGCCCAGCTAATTTTTTGTATTTTTAGTAGAGACGGGGTTTCACCATGTTGACCAGGATGGTCTCGATCTCTTGACCTCGTGATCCACCTGCCTCAGCCTCCCAAAGTGCTGGGATTATAGGCGTGAGCCACCGCACCCGGCCTAAATCCAGAACATCTTTAATGGGAACAAGTAGAATACTTATCGCTTCTATCATGTTTTAATCTCATAAAACTTTCTACATAAATCAAAACTATTTTAAGTTATCAAACATTTTTGACAAGTAGGACTCCAATGAAAAGAATTCTTCAGATAAAAAGAAACTAGTTGATTCCTGTTTTCACAAAGCATTTCTGCTGAATACAGCAAATTTTCTGTTCAAATTTTATTCATCATAACTCTTAAATAGCTAGAATTTTTGTTAATCCATAAGATAATGAAAATTAATACTAATACTGATGATTGAGAAAGATTTAAAAGACCCTAAAATTCCTTCTCTGCCATTAAAAACATTCCATTGTATATAACATATATAGTTTTAATAGTTAGGAATGGATAAGACATGTGCAATAAAAATACCATAAAAATAGGGATTGTATCTTAATAATTGTTGTATCCCTAGGTTCAATCACAGTATTTAGCACATAGAAGCCTTTTATAACTTGAAAATTGACATATAGGATTACTCTAGTTATTTCATCATTTGACTAACCAGAACATTTACTACCCTGAACCAGGTGAAATAATGGAGATTTTCCTACATAACTGATGAACTCATACCTCAATAAATACATTGACAACAGATACGCCGAAAGAAAAACAGAAGTAAGGACAACTGTCAAATATTCATGTTTAAGAGTAACCTTATAAAATGCAAATAGGTTTGCAAATCATCATTACAACTCTATAGAAGCATTAACCTCTTGAACCACATCCTATTTTCGGAGATATCACAATCTATAACATACTCATAAAAACAGAATCATTTAAGAAACAGTTTCTCTTTCTTCCAAGGGCACCTTCCGCATCTTGGGTTCTGCCCAGCTCCTTCACGAGCGCAGTGGTTGGTCATGAAGAAGAGTGTGTACCCAGCACAAATCTATCCCCACTACTCAGAAGCAGGCGTGATTCTGATGCTGGGGCAGTGGCTTTGCTCCCGAAGCTCTGCCTGTGTGTCTGTGTATGTGAAGATCTGTGAACACGTCATGCTGTGTACTTTGAGTCAATCATTCAGAAACTGTGATGTATTTACACTCGAATAGCCTTACTCAACTTCACCTAATTCCCTCAGGAGTAAGACAGCTCCTTCCAGGAGAGCTGGACATGATAGGGCTGCAGTCTTGGAACCATGTGGAGGTGGCTGATTCTCACATCGATTTGTCAGTAGCTTTGGCGGAATCTAAGGACTAAAGTTCAAATCCCTAAAGAGAACCCTAGTCCCATCATAGGCAGAAACATGTCTGTAAAACTAATCTTTTCTGATGTTAAAACAGTGCTTGATTTCAGTATCAGAAAATAATGAATAGCTTTTTAGGTAATAGGAAGGATACTAATTCTATTTTTGGCAGATTTAAAGAGCTGGGTTTTGTGGGGTTTGTTTTGGGGAGTGGGTGGGAGACAGTGTGTCTTGTTTTAATCTGAAAGTTGAGTGCAATACCTCCTGGGGTGGATAATGTTTTTGCTGTCATCAGCTTTGACAGAGATTTGTGTATTAAATGAATTTCTGACTGTAGCTGTTGAGATCGAGACCTTTGGGATAGAAAGAGAGTTAAACACTGACAGGTCGTATAGGTGTATGTGTGTGCAAATATGTATATGTATCTTAGCATAGGGAAAGAGGAGTAATAAAAAGATATCTTAATAGTGGAACAGGAGGACGAAGACCCCAGGCAAACACTTCTTGTTTCATGACTCCCCTCAGTGGAGCTGGCCTCATACCCATGACGGACGCTCCCTGAGAGTATCAACTGAGAGCTTTAATATGCATATAAATCACCCAGGGACCTGGCTAAAATGCAAAATTTCTGATTCAGTAAGTCTAGGTGGGACCTGAAATTCTGCATTTCTGGCAAGATCCTAAAAGAAACCTATTCTGCTGGTCTATGGACTATATTTTGACAAGAAGGGACTTAGCAAGCCCTTGGATTTGGCTTATTTCAGGTGGACAAGATAAGGGCTGATATAAGCTCTGAGGAAGCCCCAGCATTAAGCCAGTTGCCCTGTGGGACAGACCCACGGCTGCTGCTGCCCATGAGGACGTTCTGGGAGCCCTTCAGGCCTCCTCGAGTGGACACACCAGGAATGGATGAAGTGGTTTTAGGCAGCAGCTAACCCTCTTCTGACATTATGGTAAATGCAGTGATCTGGAATCTGGCAGAGGTGTTTCTGGTAAATTCTGCATTTGAGTTTTGGGAAATTGTTTCTTCTTTTTAGATTTAATCACTCTCTTCGTAGCCCCTGAGTTTTGTTTTGACCAAGGCAGAGTTTCTACATTACAGTGTAATCTAAAACTAGACAGATTTTTTAGGCCCCACATTTTATGTTGAAAGCTGTGTTTCACCTTTGTTACATGGCAAAGTAACCTGGTGATGAAATATGGCAGAAAAGCATCCTAAAACCAAAATGTTCAATCAATGAAAAATACATGTTTCCCACTGTGAAAACTGAGCATAACCTAGCAATATCTTCTGTTCCAGGAATTGGCAAATTGGCAACCTTTTTCTGTAAAGGGCCAGATAGTAAATATATTTTAGGCTTTGTAGGGTGATTAATTTCAAACACAATTACTCAACTCTGTCGCCTTAGCACAAAAGCAGCTATGGACAATATGAAAAAAAAGGGAAAAACTGTGTCGCAATAAAATTTTTATAAACATGATTTCACTGTAGACCATTGTTTGCCAACCTCTGTTTTCATCAATATATGGAGAAAAACATCTAGACATTTATTTTTAAGCCAATGCCCTGTCCTATTAAGGTATCACTTTGGAAGATAATGCTTATGATCCACCAGCTGTCAGACACATACTTTATGCTGGTGGATTTTTTTTTCGGTGTTAAGAATAAATTTGCATGCACTGATTCATCCACTTCCATTTGCCAGAATCCATAAATACGACGCAGAGCAAAACAGTGACTTCTCTTGAGGGGCATACACAATGACACAGAGTGATGAGGCTCTCACTAGGGTAAACACAGAGGAATGAGCACATGGCGAAGATGCCCAGGCTTCCTCAGCTTGAGAAGGTACATTCAGGGAAGTCTGTGGATAAGAAAGTGTCAGGAAACCATATAAACTAAGACCAAGAGGTCCTAGAAGTCACAGAGAGACTACTACGCTTGAGAAATCGGGTTGAAATAATGCTTATTGGATAGAGGGTATGATTTGAGAGAGATGGAAGAAATGATAAGCAAAATCAGGAAATGAAATTGGGAGTGTGATGAGAGCCCGTCATTAGACTTGTGTGTCATGCTGAAGAGTTTAAACTTATCTTGGATGCACGAAGTAGAAGGATGGTCATTTTGTTAACCTATTCATACACTTCCCATGTGACTGTCCTCTACCTCCTCAGAGATGATCTGCACCAAAGCATTCATATAGTAGTGGATCAGAGCCAGCTATGAGCAGCACCCACAGTCAATGGCAATAGCAATGCTACCGACAGTGAGAATAGAACACACGTGCATCTAGCTTAGAAAAACAGATTCCTCCCACTGGGAAGAATGTGCAAGCACACCGGGCTATGTGCTAGCAAGTGATATAACGTAAGTAAAATATACTTGTCCCTTAAAGTGCATTACAGAATAGAACCAATAGTATAATTAGTAATTAAATATCCAAATAATGGATATAGTTCATCAGACTGTATCCAGTGACATTTTATCTACAAACACTGTATCCAGTGACATTTTATCTACAAAAATCATAAAATCTTCTAACTTTAAAATCATCTCAGCACATTTGACCCACATGTTCCTGAAGTCAATAGAGCCTTCTGGCATTTGTAAATTGCCTTCCAATACAACTGTTTTTTAAATACGGTAATGGAGATTGAAGGAATTGACATCAATATAAAATATCAGTAAAACAACATTCTAGCCTCTATTTCAACTCCCCCAACACACACACACACACACACACACACACACAACACACACACACACAAAGTTGTAGCCAAACAAAAATATGACAAAAGCTGATATTTTAGAAAGCAAATAATATTACAAGTTTACTAATATTACAAGTTACATCCAAGTGGATGGTTTTATCATTGTTTCTACTCTTACTGATATAAAAATTTTCGTGGGTTTATGGATTTTGTAAACTGCATGACTACTTTTCAAACACTCCAAAATATTAAGTGCTATAATAGTTTTACTAGGTCTTGGTTAAGTGTTAACTTTTTCCAGGAAGCCTTCTCAGACCTCCCAATCTTTTTTTTTTTTTTTGAGACGGAGTTTCGCTCTTGTTACCCAGTCTGGAGTGCAATGGTGTGATCTCGGCTCACCGCAACCTCTGCCTCCTGGGTTCAGGCAATTCTCTTGCCTCAGCCTCCTGAGTAGCTGGGATTACAGGCATGCGCCACCATGCCCAGCTAATTTTTTTGTATTTTTAGTAGAGATGGGGTTTCACCATGTTGACCAGGATGGTCTCGATCTGTTGACCTCGTGATCCACCCGCCTCGGCCTCCCAAAGTGCTGGGATTACAGGCGTGAGCCACCACGCCCGGCCGACCTCCCAATCTTTCCCAGTGATCCTTCATTGCATTCCTGTGGCCACCTATACTTCCACTGTCCCGGTACTCAACACAATGCTTGGCTGCCTACTTCAGGCCACCTGTAAGGACACTCCCATGTCTTTCTCATGCATCATTATATCACAGCCTTGAACATGACAGCCCCCAGTATTGATATGTTACATGATGGATAAATAAAGGAAAGTGGATTTAGGAACTATCAATATTTCATCTTTCTATCATAATATTCTGTTCATTATAAATATCTTTCTAATCCTTTCAGGCTCTGAAAATTCCCCAACAGACCCTCCATTGAGTGTTACAGAATCTACCCTTGACACCTTACCTTCTCCAGCCAGCAGTGCCTCACCTACAAGTAAGAATGTCTTCATACTGAGCTGTTAACTTAACCAAGCGATTGATACAGAAAAATTTTCAGCTAAGTTGCCTGATTCATGCCTGTTTCTTGGCTATAACTTTTTTTTGGCTGAAATTAGGTTTTTATTTTTTAACAGCTGTATAAGATGTAATTCCCATCACATAATTCACCCATTTAAAATGAACAATCTAATGGTTTTTAGTATGTTCACAGAGTTGTGCAACCATTACCGCAGTCAATTTCAGAACATTTTCATCAGCCAATAAAGAAACTCCTAAACATATTAAAGGATTATGCTCATGGCTTCAAGGAGTTAACATAGCTTCCAAAATCCTTTACCTGAAGCCCTGGGAAAATCGAGGTCCAGAAATATTCAGTGAGGAATTTAAATTCTGCATGTATTATTAAATAGGTTAATAAACTGACAGGCATCCTCCAAAACAACGTTCTCAGTGAGGAATTTAAGAGATCGGTTGTAAATGGAGATAGGCCAAAGGAGGTTCAAACCTTTTAACATTAAATCTGTCTGGCTCAAATTAATGTTGACAAAGTGGACTGGTGAGGGTTATGAGCTCCTCCCATCTGAAGCATCATTAATGGAGGTCAGCCTGGGTCAGCATTACTGTGACAAAGGAACGGCAGTGACTCTCAAAAGCTGTCACTGATGCAACAAATTATGAATTCCCATGTCTCCGGCTTTTGTGTCTAACAAAGAACCATGGTGACTCTCTAATACAAAAAAAACTTATATTCTATGTGAATTAGAAGTATGGCTCTCATTTCTCATTTAATTAAAACTATCAATTTTAGTTCAAAATGAGAACTGAAAATGGAGTAAAACAAAAGCAGCCAGCAGGAATGAACAATTCCTCTACCTGGTAACCTTTGGCATATAGCCTGCAGTCACTGTCACAAGTAAAAGAAGTGGCAGAAAATGTTGCAAACTACCCATCAAAAGTTTCACATCCATCTGAATTTTTCATGTTCTTAATGTTTTGTGATTTTTCTTTTCTTCTTTTTTGGAGCCTCTTTTTCTTCTACTTTTAACTCACCACCAGTAATAAACCACAGTTAATTATGGAATTTTTCATTCAATGAGTATTAGCATATTCAATAATAATAAAACCTTAAATCTTTCTAGTATCTTGTATATTACTTATCCATTAAAAATCCCTCAAATTTTAGCAATTTACAAAACATGTATTGTCTCATATGGTTTCTGGGGGTCAGAAATTCAGGAGCAGCCTAGCTGGAGGGTGCTAACCTGGGTTCTTTCATGAGGTGCAGTCACACTGCTGGCTGGGGCTTCAGTCATCTGAAGGCCTGATGGGAACTAAAGAATCTGTTTCTAAGCTCTAGCATATACATGGGAGATCTCAGTTCCTCACCACATGGTCTTCGCTATAGGTCTGCTTACAATATCACACTTGGCTTCCTCCAGACCAAGTAATTCAAGAAACAGAGTGACTAAGTCAAAAGCCATACTGCCTTTTTATGGCTCCGTCTCCAAAACTGCATGTCATTACTTCTGCTTTATGTTATCTACTAGAAGTAAGTCTCCAGGTCCCTCTTATACTCAAGGGAAGGAGACTTAGGCTCCACTTATTGAAGGAAAGCGTATCAAGAATCTGTGAAAAAAATTAAAGCTACCATACTCTGTCATTTAGAAGTGTCTGCACATAAAATGCAGTGTGGTTTGATATTCTTTACTATGAGTGGTAGACAGAGCCGACACTACTGTTCCCACTTGCCGGATGAGGACACTGAGACACTGACAGCTTAAGTGATCAATACCTACTAAGTGACAGTGCTTTGCATTCACACCACAGTCTTATGACTAAATCTAGTTCTCACCACATCAGATACCATTTTTTCTCCAGTTGGTCTGAACACACCATAAGAACAGGAACCATATTTGTTTTGCCTTCTAGAAAATTCTTAGCACAGAGTAGGCAGTCAAAAACTACTAGTTGAATAATTAATGAAAAGAATGAAAGAATTAATAAGAATAAGGTTCTTTCACTATGCAGATGTCATTTAATAGACTATTTAATGCTAAAGGAAAAAGATAAAAATATATTTCTGCCTTCAGAAAGGTTGCAGTCTACTTGGAAAGTATAAACACATAAAGACAATAATTCAAAATAACAAGGTGAAAAGTGGTATACCTTACAGAATTAAAATGCCCAGGGAGAGGTACAAACCAGTAAGTATTAGGCTTTGAAAGTTCTTTATGAGTTCATGGGCTCAGAAAATGTTACCTAGGAGAAATGAAATAACTTGACCTTTGAAGTATGTATTGCATATATTTGCCTCAGTGGAGAGCTTGAAAGAACATTCTAAACAGAGGAAACAAAGTGAGCAGTTGTACAGTGACAAAGATGTCTATGGGCATTTGAGAAAGCAGCTGTAGATAAGCTTGGATCGAAGAGGTGACATAGTGACCAACAAGCAGGGATGCAGATAGGAAAACGCAGACTAAACAAAGCCTTGAGCCCCAGCTGAAGGGCTCCGAATGCTGTCCTTTATGACACGGGGGAAGGACCTCATTCAACTTTATTTTAGAAAGAAAGTGATATAATTTAATCATCAGATATTTGTTGAGCACCCACTATGTATCAGGGTACCCTTCTAGGTGCTGGGAATACAGCAATGAACAAAACTGAAAAAAAAAAAAAAGTCCTCATGGCATTTATATTCTGCTAGTTAAAAGCAGGCATGAATTTCTTCTGGTTGAATTTTTATAAGGTTAGTCTACATACACTAAGTGCTTATATCAGACCAAACACAATTCTTACTTCTGTGACAAAATTTAAAGCAAGAGAAAGCAGTTGTTACAGTTAGGAAGCCTACAATTTAATACAGGTTTGGCATTAATGAAGGAAAGACAGCACAGTCAAGTAACATACTTGTTTAAAAGCAGGGTGGGGAATGCCACCTGGTCTACTGTCACACTAAGACGTCACAGTTGGGAAGTCTGTGCGGAATCAAAAGGCCTCTGTAAAATAAAGTCCCACCACATTGGCCCTGAGGATTCTGTTAGATGAGCGGTTGTCTACCAGGGTAACTTTGCCATCCAGAGGACCTTTGACAGTGCCTGGAGACATTTTTGGTTGTCACAGTGAGGGTGGGAGGGTGCTACTGGCATCTAGTGTGTAGAGGCCCGGGGTGCTGCTACACATTGTATAACACAGGACAGAGAAGCCCTCACAACAAAGAATTATTCGGTTCAAAATGTCAATAGTGCCGAGGCCAAGAAACCCCGGTTTTTAGATCAAGGTTTAGGTGTGATGACAGTAGGAGTCCCTTACTTTACAAAATCAGATCTGGATTTCTGTCAAGATGGCAACAATAGATTATGTTTGGAATCATTTTCTGTTTGACTTTGTATGTCAAAAAAACTCATGTTAAACCAGTGGCAGATTATGTCTAAATAAACTTATCTTCTTGGAATAATCACTGAATTAATACTGAAAATCCAGATTTTGACTTGGCAGACTGGAGGGTAATTGTGAACTCACACAATGACTTCCTACCTCAGAAGCTGGTAGGATTCACCTTTGCATGTTCTTTGAAGAAAGGAAGTGAGATGAAGCATATCCTGGAAGCCAACTTCAAAGACGATGGTTTCATTCCAAATTCTAAGATGTAATGAGCTTTATAATCCAGTCATCATTACAAAGCTGCATGCTTGGCTGCAGGCATCCAGTTCTTAATTTTTCCTCAATGAAAGGATATTTTTTAAACAAATGTTGGAGGTCATGAAAGCAATATTCTTTAACGAGGGGAGGAGAGCTTAATAACCCATAACAAACTGTAAGAGTTACCCAGGGAAGCCCAGCTCAATTCAGCCGGAACCAATTAGTGTTTGCTGAGTCCCAACCGCATTCTCAGTGCAGTTCTAGGAAAAAACAGGCTGACAAAGTGGCAAGATGAGACAAGTCCATGTGGAATAATGAGAGACACCTGATGAATCCAGGGTGGGGCCATACAGACACAATTCAGGAGCTCCTGTCACTCTGAGGAGAGAGCCCTGTGCCTTTCAATTCGCTGGCTCTCACTTGGCTAAGAGTTACGAAGCCTAAGAGAACAGGCCTCAGAAATGCCAACAGGTATGGCAATTATCCAAGACATTTATTCATTCAACTCGTAAGTATGGAGTGCCTACAATGTGTCAGGAACTTTTGAGGTGCTAGGTTACAGTGATGAACAAGACAGGCAGGGCTCGTGCTGCTTACAGAGCTTACAGTCCTGTGTGACCCACTTGCTGTGACTCTTATTTTCGTGTCCACCAGTCCCTTTGGCTCTGCCTCCAATTGTTCTGTTTGCACATGACCCATGATGATGTTGATTTTAATATTAAGTCCTTTCTAATGACTTAGCTGGTTCTTACCAGCTAGGTCTTTCTACTACTGAGTGCTTAGAGTAAAATACTAGGTCCAGTCTGACTCTAACCCTCAGCCAGCACCTCAGGTAGACACAACTGATATTTAGCAAGTGGATGATCAGTCACTAAGGAGCACAGTCTAAAGGAAGCCCAGGGAATGCAACAAAACTACTGATTTATGAGCGAACATGTCAGAAATGGTGGGGGATCAAGCTGGAAGACATGCCTTTAGATGAGATTAGAAGAAAGTAAAGCAGAAGTTCAGCAGCTGATAGGGGTATTGGATTCTAATGTTAACAGGGGAATACCAGAGAGTCTACCAGGCAGGGAGAAGACTCCAGTGATTTGTTTGTGACAGCAAGTTCTGACCCCTTTGCTAGTCATGCCATTCCTGTCTTCGGGTGCCAACAGGGCACCTCAGTTGCTGTCCAGTAGTTTCTGCCTTTATCAACATGTATCTGCTACAGAAAAGTCCGTGAGTGCCGGGGGGAAGGAAGGAGGATCAGGGAAGTCTGCACGCAGGGTCTGGAAAAACATATTGACTTAGGTGGAAGAAGGATGAGAAATGGATCTTCACATTCTCATCACAGCAAAGGCATAAAACAAAGTG